GCACTTTCTCTCAAAAAGGGCGCGTTTTCGAGATTTTTCGTCAAATTCAGCCAAAAAAAATCGAAAATTTGCATTTTTATGAATGAAAATAATTTTAAAGCATATACTAATTTATACGGTTGGATTCGTCACAAAAAATCCTAAATTTTGGTAGTGTCAAAAATTTTCGAAGATTTTTTCTGTTCATTTTTAAACGTTGCAAAGTCGATTTTTGGATTTTTAAGCGAAAAAAAAATCAAAAAAGTACATTTTTATCGATGAAAACGAAGTCGTAGAGCAAAACTGACTACGGCATTCGATTCTACAGACAAAAATACGTAAGAAAATGTATTGTCGATATTATTTTTACTCTCGAAACACAGTTTGAAATAAATTGAATGGTTGACCGATTTTGCTCCTATTTTGGACCACGTTTTTAAACTTCAAAAATCGATCGACACCGGTTCCCGACACTTTTTTTAGGTTCTGAACCCGGCTTTCTTTTCGTAAAGACTTGAACTTTCGGAATCGCCATGACGTATATGCGATTTTGAACATTTTTGCAAAAGCGAACCACCCTAATATGTACATTATCAAATTCCGAAATTATCTGCTAGACCATGACATGACTATTTTTTAACCCTTCGGTGATAACTGATTTTACTACGCTACCAGTGGCATCTATAGAAATGACAGGATTAAATTTGGCTAATTGGTGCCACAATCTAATTTGCTCATCGAACCAATAAATTCCTCTGAAGGCACAAACTCTTTTAATAAAAGGACGGAGCTTCGCTAAAGCGAACAAAGCTTTTACTGGATCTTTAATTGACAAGTTAAAACTTGAATATTCATTCAAAGCTTCTTGAATTTTTCGTAGTACATCACTATTAGATAAATCCAGTGGTTCGCACTGAGAAAAATTTATCATTTCATCTGCCATTTCATTTCTGTGACGCGAGGCTGACGTATATAAAAGTTTTTGTTTTACTTTTTTACGCTGTAGGTTTATAACGTGCCGTTCTTATCGTGTTTGATTAACGATATGTCGTAGGTGTGAATGTTTATTTCTACTTCATTGTCGTTTTCAGGTTGTTTGGGACACAATCCATAGATGTGTGTGCCGCACTCTTTACACATCCCTCGAAAATTGGTTGGTGTCCATACATAGGGTTTGAGTCTTGTCTCTTTTGATTGCGGTTTGATCAGGTGCCATAGATCCGCATTTAAATATATAGGAAAAATCTTTTTTTCAAAGTTGTGAGGATTACGAATGTCCGTTTCGTCTTCGTATGGTGCATCTTGCCTATCGTAATCATTAAAATTGGACAATAATTCTTGATTGTCAGAAAAATCACTCAAATCTGAATTTTCAGATTCATTTATTCTTTCGACTTGTCGATCTTCAATTTTCAAATGCCGCAAAAGTTTTGACTTAATACGACGAATATCTCCTCGAACGTGGAAATAAATGCTATCTATTATAGATAAAGCACGATCTGAAAGATTTTTCAGCTCCTTTACAGCTTTCTTCCACACTTCGCTGTAACGAGTCCGAGGCTTCAACATAACGTTTGGATGGAATAATGGATGTTTCTTTAATACTCAATACATTAGGTACATTAGGTTACAACCTCGGTTAGTCGACCGCTTAAAATAGATCCACCTATTGTTTCCGTTGCAAGCGCTGAAAAATAAAATGACAGGAAATTATGAAAGTACTTGATTTGCGTTTCGGGGACTCAAAACTATTCGTTCATCAGTTAATTCAACAAATTCGATGTTAACCCGAATTAAATGTAGCATTTTCCAAAATTGGCAAATTCGCGACGGAACTTAATAATGCTGTGTCTTCCCTCGCTAAGCTGCCCAATAGTGGAGGCTGCTTATATCGTGGTGATGTTTTTGAAAGTGTGATAGATAAATTTTAGTCGGGCCTACTATTGAGCAGCACAGACGCAAGCAGGCCAAGACAAGCACACTGTACCCTCTTCTCATACAGCAATGATGTTGAACTTTACATATTGTGGAGTCCAGTAATGAAGCGCACGACAGCATTCATGCACCGCTTGATCCTGAGGGCCTGCTTCGCCGAGATGCTCAGGAACAGCGCCGCGCAGTAATCTACGTGCGGGAATACCAGCGTTGAGACCAACATAGCTCGAACTTCCGCCACAAGAAAGTCGCCACACCTTCGTAAGCCCGACAAAGTTGCAAAGACCCAGGCAGTGATCACAGAGACATGGCTTCTCCAAGTGAGCTCGCTATCCAAGGTGACTCCAAGCAGCTTCAGCCTGTCGACCGCCAAGGCAGGGCTTCCTTCGATGACAGGTGGAGGTACATCGCCAGCTCGGAGCTGAGACATGTATCGACGAGTTCCTAGCCATATAGCCTTGGTCTTGTCCGGATTGATCACCAGGTCCGAGTCCGCCGCCCACGCCGCAAGCCGATCCAAGTCCTCCGACAGCAGAACCATCAGCCTTCGTACATCCGCAAATGGTCCATGGACGTAGATGGTGGTGTCATCCGCGTATATGCGATGCCTGCAATTTTTCAGGACACGAGGGGCGTCGTTGGCAAACAGCGCATACAGTAGCGGCCCCAAAACGCTGCCTTGCGGGACACGTGCCATCCTTGGCAGGGTCGCCGATCTCTCGCCACGAGGTTCAATCACTAGCTGTGTGTGTCAACCGTAGCCATGAAGGTGACCTCTTGGTACTCAACAGCCTCCCTCACATCGTCCATTATGCAAGTCTGTCCAGGATCTTAGACATAGCACACAGCAGGTTTATAGTCACCGGCATCTCGTCGCGACAATTTCTTCGCCACGTATTGCTTGATATCCGAATAGGTGGTGAAGAAATCGTCCATCTCTATGTTACTTATAAATGGCTCACAATAGAACTCTCAATACATAAACTTGACTCGTTAACATTCACGGCACTTTTACGCGAGTAATATGAATATAAAAGAGTTATATTAATATAAATAATATTAATATTGCCTATATATTATTCAACACTGAACAAATGCTGCCTACGATACAATGTATACGATACAATATACAAGATTCAACGTCAAACAACGAGTGACTACTGGTTACGGCGAGATGAAATGATGCTCGAAACTTCTCACGTGTAGCGTCCTTTGTTTCTATGAGGACGCTACTACTCTACATCGACGCGCTGCTGCTCGAACATCGAGGGAATTTCCCTCGATGGCCGAGAGCAGTAGCGTTTCCACGTATCGAGGCTCTGCGCTGCGGCGTCGAGTGGTAGCAGCTCGAACTTTTTTTCAGTGTAGAGGGAAACACGCCCGTCTGCAGAGAACAGTCAAAAATATTCACCGGCAGCGTAACACAGAGACACTCACAGGCATGTCATCGGTGCCCCGGGCTTCAGTTCGAGACCATGCAAAATCTTCAACTACTTTAGAGAGCTGTACATGGAGGAAGTAAAATCGCTCGTCCGGGTGTACACTTCTGACAGGCGTCTCGGGATCCACAGCTCTCGACTGAAAAGCTTCAACGAAGTGCTGATTCAGCTCATCAACTCTGACAGGAAGCTCAGCCGATCTGCCAGTCCTCGAGCCAAGTCCAAGTTAGCCCAGCATCCTCCACCACAAAGAAGTGTCACATAAAATGCGAAAATTAGAAATTAAGTGCGTTCATATAAGCGAGAATCACGAGCTAGAATGCCGATAATTTTAGATGCAAATGAAAGATTCACTCAGTTGTTCATTCTCTCTTACCATGAAAAATTTTATCACGGCAGTCACGAGACGGTGATGAACGAACTGCGACCGCGATATTGGATAATCGGACTGCGCAGATTTTTAAGAAAGCTCATGTTTAATTGCATAATTTGTCGGGCTCACAGAGCAAACTCGTCTCCTCCGCGTGTTGGCTGCGTTGCCCAAAGCTCGTTTAGCTTTCAAATGTCGGCTGTTCTCACATTGCGTTCTGGATTATTTTTGCCCGGTTCATGTAGTTTTTGGTCGTGGCACAGTAAAAAGATGGGTGGCGCTTTACACGTGTTTATCGATAAGAGCGATTCATTTGGAATTAGTGTCGAGTTTATCAGCAGATTCCGCGATCATGGCGTTCCGAAGGTTTTATAGTAAACGAGGTAAACCCATAATTGTGTACTCAGATAATGGCAAGAATTTTAAATCGATGAGGAAAAAACTTGCAAAAGACGTAGAAGTTTTTAACGGAAAAAAGATTCACGATTATGCGATCACTGATAGAATAGATTGGATGTTTAATCCACCATCCAGATTAATCCGGTCCGTTTAGGTGTCTCTGACAATCGTGTTAAAGGGTCCCTCTACATCGGATAGGGTATTGTCGACTCTGTTAAGTGAAGTAGAGCATGCCGTCAACTCTCGCCCGCTTACTCATTTGTCGTCGAATTCATGTGATCGTGAATGTCTCACGCCGAATCATTTTATGTTCGGTTCATCTTCCGGACAATTGGCATTGCCAAGATATAAAGAAAGCGCGATTAATGTTAGAGAGCAATGGAAGCTTGCGTAGCTTATGCCGATGAATTCTGGTCACAATGGTTGTACGAATACTTACCATAGTTGCAAACTCGCAAACGAAAACTCCCAAACTAAAAGTAAACGATGTCGTGCTCTTAGTGGACGAGAATATCGCGAGAAATTTTTGTAAAAAAGGAGTTATAAATCGCGTGTTGTTCGGAAAAGACGGTGAAATTCGAGTAGTGGAAGTTGGAACAGCTTCGGCGTACGGTATTGTTAAAAATTAATTAAAATAGCATAAGTTTTACTAAATTTATTAGGCGCTGAGCGTGAAACGATGTTTCAAAAATGATGTAAACCTAAATTTTAAAGGATTGTAATTGTAAAGGCTAGCGCATAGGCTGGCTGGACGCTGCTTCAAAAAACAATTGCTGTGCAATGCGTCGCTGACAAATCGGACGTAATAAATAAACTGTTGAAAAATTCAATCTCTTTATTGCCTTTCGTAGCTCCATTAATTTTTTTTCCAAGTTTCCTCATTTACACTCGGAAAACACAGATATTGTTCTTACACCTAAAAGTAACTTTTTAAGTAACGTTCCATTTTCTAAGCTATGAATACTTAATACATTCTGTAATAAAATTATTATTATGAGAATTATTCAATGATTCAAATATAAAAATTTAATAAGTAACTGACCTTGACGTCCTCAATGTGACATGTGAAAAGTTTGTTGCCATCGACAACAGTTGCCCAATCCAAGACATTATGAGCATGTTTCGGTAACAAAGCTTTCCATTTCGATTGGTTATCTTTGAAATTTTTAGTTCTGAATACAGTTTTAGAACCCGAATTAGCTATGTACTCGTAATCAGAACCCCATTTCCCCACTACTTCAATTAAGGGTAATTTCTCATTTATTTCTTTTCCCTTAATTTAGGTAAAAAATACCCGATTTTCTCGACATTTTTTCTGAATAGTTACTATTAACCACTTCCCGCAGTCTGTAACTTCTCCTCTGAAAATAAAAAAATTATTATATACTGTGACATTGATTTTTACCAAAACTTTTTATATAGACTGCTTACACTCTCTATAGAAGTCGATCAAGAAATTTTACAACTGTCACATCGTCAATGATTGGTGTGCCTATTCGGTGGTAACATAATTTGTGATTTTCATTCTTATTGCTTTCAGAACCATCTGCAGCATTAGAATAGCAGTATTAGATTATTCCCTTATTGTGTTAACAACACTACGCTTGAAATAAGATGAAACATTACTATATTATGCAAAAAGTACTCGAAGTAGATGAATTACCCCGCGTTCGCAAAAAAAATCAAACGATCACTTTAACACAAATTTTTCTATTTTAGGAAGAGCTTTTTCCACTTTCTACGTTTAATATTCACTCAAATAAATCATTATAATCTGTGCTTAAAATCAGCTGTTTCAGCAGGCCGTACACCACACAACTGATATTTATTAGACTAATGTTCAATTTAAGCATACACACTCTTATAATTTCTCATAGGCACAGTGCGGGTAGGAGCAATACTGCGTGCGCATACGGAGATATAATTCGGGTTGCGCGACTTTCATGAAAATCAGTTAGGCCGATAAAGCAACATTAGTTCATTTAAGCTCGTATTCATTAGCAATTAGATGTAAATCGCTTTATTACACGTATGAAGGCTGATTAAAACGAGCGATCTGGAGGATTCGTGCGAAAGTGTATACGCGCCTCTAGCATCGGTGAAAAATCGTCAATCGGTGGCGTGCCGTGGCGGCGGCTCCTTTTCAAATTTCTCTCGTGCGCGCACACACTTAATAATATCGAAGGCTCGCGGCTCGATACTCGGTAATACTCATTACACACGTGTGCATTATGCAGACATTATTTTTGCATTAATACGCGCTCTTATTCGAGTTTCATGCGCGCCGCAGTGTTACAGCCAAGGAAAGTATGAGTTTATGTATGGGAGGAACTTTTGCCTTCGATATTCGGTGATTTCATTCGGCGCGCCGATGTCGTAATACACTTGATCTATTTCGCAAGTTTTTTTTCTACCTGGTTTTTTTTTCATTTCGTACGGAGTAGTCTAGTCTCGGCTCTTTATTCATATTGTTATTGAATACGCCTAATGTGTGTTTACATACGCAAAGAATAAAATCGTTTAATCGTTTCATCATCGTGAGAAAACAAAAGAATATAGGATCATTGTTGCCGTATTAAAAAAAAAAAAAGAAAGAAAGAAAAGAAAACAGAGCCACGAGCGAAATAACTCCCCATATTTCGTGCACGGGTACGATTCCATCGATGTGTCATACTTCCTGGACGTACGCTATATTTTCATCCATATACCTACGTCAACCTGTAATTTTTTCATCCAAAGCGCCGCGCGCCGTATACGTACTACCATTCGTATGAGGTACACATCGATATCGCCGCGGCCGCGAGACATTACGCCGCGCCACGCGCGCACGGGCATGCATAATCCTCAAGTTGCTCAACCTATCGATCATATAGTGCGCGCTTGAAATACGAAAAAAAAGTCGCAAGTGCGCAACTCTTTCTTCGCAAGCCGGGAATATACGCGTGTCTTATAGGTGTACGTCAAGCATTAAAATGCTCAACTTTCCACGTGGCTTTTCACGTGGGCAACGGGTGCAAAACTCAAATTCCAGGGAGCGGTCAAGCGCGCAGCAAGAGAGACAGACAGACAGAAATGCACACTCGCTTGGTGCGATTATTATTCAGTGTTGGTATTCGCATACATTAGCTCGTATACAGCGAACCTCTTTGTTGCGAGCTTATAATATAATATAATATATTTATAACGTGTGTAAGTGCAAAGAAGCAGGATGTCTTTCGCGAAGGCAGCTCCAAAGCTGCTGCTGCTGCTGCTGCTATGTACAACATAAAGTGCAGCCCCGCGTTCTCGGCAAGGTCGTTTTCTCTCCGCGCTATATACATAGGCGCTGCTGCTGCGATTCGTTTGTTTCTTACCCAAAAGGCACCGTATACATACGTAGGCAGGTACGCGTTTATCCGATCGCAGCTCGAGATGTGTGTCGACAGTCGATATAAGCCGCATTTTCTCGTGCTGCACTTTTGTCTGCGCATTAAACTGTAACAGCTTGGGAATGTGTGAAAATATGCCACTCGGCGATTTAGAAAATAATTTCCATTTGCAATCGTTTGCACTGCTTTTTGAGAATTAACGAACACCCGCGGCTATGTATTTTACACCCGCTTATACAATTGTATAAATAATATATCGATTGTTCAAGTGAAAATTTCCAGCTCGAGTTTGACGAATGCTCAACGTTCCAGACGAATGAATGTATCGCTTATGCATCGCGATAGACCACGAGTTGTGTGCAGAATTCGCGCTCATCTTCTGAATTTTCCTCGCCTCGTTTATAAACATGTAAAGTGTACGTAATCATCACGGTCGTCTTTGGAGCTGGCACGTTTTCCATGCGGGTTACATTTGCTATGTAGGTATAAAGAGCTTTCCATTACTACATAATAGATGTGGAAAAAAAGAGCAGCAGCAGTGCAGTGCAGCGCAGCGCTGCAAGTGTGCAGTCAAGAGTTCACTCTTATTGGGATCTCATTTCGTGATCGTCTCTCTCTCTCTCTCTCTCTCTCTCCTTCTCTCGAGACATTCTGACTTATGGACCAGCAAACAAACTTATAACATTTGCACGTAAACGTATATAGCTTAAGAAGTGCAGCAGCAGCAGTGGCATCGTGTGTTTGCCTCGAAAAGAAAGATTTCTCACTGTATTAAGCCACAGGTGAACTTTGCACGTATTGCGGAGAGCTCCGAGCTGAAAAGTAGTTTCTCGTCCCTAACGACTTGCTGCGCTATATAGGTACGTGTGTACATATATACCGAACGGCTTATAGAGGTGAATCGTTCAGAGCGATTAGAAGATGCGCTCCCTGCTGCAACGGTGCACCTCCCAGCACACTTCTCTGTACCGTATAATATGCGCCTGTGAACTACGACGAGTGTCGTATTTAGGAGCTTTACAACGCGAGTTATCTCGATGACGATTGCCACCGATCTGTACTGCCATAATCCAGTTTTACGCAGCTTTCCTTCGCTTTGCGAATCTACACAATAATTGACGACTTGGCGGAAAAAAAGTATAAAATATAACATCTAAAAGTTAACAGGTATTTCGAGACAAGGAAGTAAAACGAGTTATGATAAATGTATAAGCTTATCAAAACCACAATGAATACGTCAAATTTTCAAATTACTATGTTAAAAGACTTTATGTAAAAATTATAATTTCCATTATACCTTTACATTTTTTTTCCGTGACAATATATTGGGCATATATTGAAGAATACAGTTTATCGAATTTTTTTGCGATAAATACACGATCGTATTACAAACGAATGACAGAGTCGCGAGCAAAATTCATCGCTCGTCACACACGATCTCGTTACAGTTTATTTGATTACTAAACGCACTAGGGAACTAAAACGCTTGTATATAAATGACTTATGTGCGATCGTTTAAATAAGTGAGAAGAAAAATAAGAGGTCTATTTACAACGAGTAATGGATACTTCGCATCGGTTGAATGCAAAAACTTATAACAAGAAAAAAGACAGCAATAATAATAATAAAAAAGTAAAAAAATAATGAATCGGCGTCGTCGCGATCACTCAAAGCTTATCGTTTGTACTGTCTGTAAGAGCCGAGACTGGACGGATGATGATTGTAGCTGTGGGGTACCGGAGCATACTGAGGCTGATAGTAGGTCGCTGGCGACGGATACTGATGCTGATAGTGAGTCTTGTACTGGGGCTGGTACTCGGGCTGCGAGTAGTGATGGGGCGCCGGCGCCGGGGCTGGAACCGGTGCTACTGGAATCGGCTGGCGGTAAGCGTGGGCGATTTTGCTGCGGAAAACGAGAGCATAAATAAAAATGTTCATGTTATTGAATATTTTCTCGTCATCGATAATGACGTGTATACTATTGCAGACGTTTCAGCATCTGCTGCTACTTATATCATGTTGAAACGTGCGCTGCTGCATGAATATATGGTGCTGCTATAGGTATAAGCAAAGCGCGAGGCTAAAGGGAACGTCTTTAACGAAATACAAATTCACCTCTGTCTCGTATAATATACGATGCGAATAGTCGTATAGTTGCGCGCGGGGCACGACACACGTGAACCCCGTCGTATGGTAGTCGTCAAGTCTGAAGTACCTGTATATAAATACGATTTCTCGCGCTCAATCGTGAATTCCCGCGCACTCGCGCGAGATGCGGAGGTGTAAGCGCCGCCGTCGCATTTGACATTTGTGCATATAACACGTACTCGCTCGTATACATATAGCTACCTCTCTCGTTTGTATATGGCATAAATACTGCATACGCTTGCCAAAGTTCGCGGCAGATTTCACTACTATGTGCGCGCACCACCACCACCATCGACTGCACACTTATACGCGCGCAAGAAAGAGAGTAATGGCCTGGCTTTGCATTATTTATGATTTATTTTCGCCTTTGACTGTACTGAGTCGTATTTATAAGTGACTGTGTGTGTGTATTCCGTGCGAGGAAAAGCGAGAATCGAGAGTGCGCGGTGCCTCGGTATTATAGACGTTCGCACGTTAAATGCAGGCGCGAACGGGGGATAAGATCCCTCCTTGTACGTGCGATATATATACGTTTTTTATTTCATCGATATTTTCTCTCCGCAGGACCAGAGAGAAGCGAGAGAGACAGGTTATATGGCGCCACGCGAAACAATGAAGAGAGCTTAATTATATTACGCAACTTTTGCCTCAATCCAGTACATTTTTAATCGACATAATTTGCCTCTTTATTACGTAATGAATCTATATCGTAATGCTATTAGATATCACTCGATTTTCCACTAGCAGCTTATATACACCGGCAACAGACAACGTTGTTACAGATTACAGCTTTGCTGTGTGCAGCGCATGTGTGTACATTATACGTTTTGTATTTTTATCAACTGCGGCTCGCTAGTATATATTGGAAACGCAACTTACAACAGGAAGTTCCGAAGCCTTTTATGTCTAATCATTAACGTCATGTAATCCCGGGCCGGCCCGCGAAAGTACGGTTAAATTTCCATTTAGCGCGCTACATTTTTTCAATCGAACTTCCCAGATATGTGTGTGCTGTGTGTGTATATTATACGCTGATTAACTTTGTTTTTTCTTTTTTTTTTTCAAGTAATTTACACTGTCCAAAACGAAATGTATGTACATTCCCATGTTAGACGTAAAGAGAAGCGAAGGCAGCTCGTATTTTCTAATCATTCAAATTAACTTTTATAGTTTACCGACAGTCTGGTGTTAGACTCGACACGAAAATCATTGAAAAACTTTTCGCACTTTTGGCTCGTGCGCCATATAATAACGCTTGAAACGGTCTGTAACCCGTTGCTATTTGGAAACACAGTCAAATTATGAATGAAATTAAATGACTCATTTGAAATTATTTTAAAAATACTACGGGCAAATTAGCAGCTATTGATTTATTTTTATTTTTTCAACTCGCACAGTTAGACTCTGCTCGCGAAACTATTTCGTCATTCTCGGTCCTGAATAGAAATGTACGACTCGACAACGTAACTTCGGCATTATGTCACGTCTATACGGCGTTAGAAGTCGAAGAAGAAGCTCCGCCGCCACCGATGCAGCAGCGCAAGGATATCTCGTAGACTACGTAAGGGGGGCGGCTGCAGCAGCGCCACGAAGCTACGCGACCTCAACAATGTCAATCTCGTACGACGGTATACCTTGGAATCGGGCTGTAGACGTGAGGAGCCGGGGACGGGCCGGGCTGGTGTCTGTGCAGCTGGTGATTCTGTATGGTCGGGTACTTGTGATTGGGCACGGGGTCGTAACGCTCGCCGTTGGTGTAGCGCGGATCGGTGTGATAGACGTTGGGGTCCTCTCGGTACTGGCCGTCGTCCTCGGGATCGTCCTTGTCGAGGTGGTTGTCCGCCACCACGGGCGGTGGCGGCACGTTGATGCCCGTGCCCTGCGGCTGGAAGCCCTGCTTGGTCGCGCCGTACTCGATCTCGCGCAGACTGCCCGTGTCGTCGATGAAACCGTACTTGCCGTAGACCTCGCCGCTCGGGTACTTGGACTCGATCTTGTAGCTGCCGTCGGCCGCCTCGAAGCCGTAGCTGTAGCTGCCGTCCTCGTTGTGCCTATAAGTTATGACGATCGCATTTAATGTATGTAATAATTAGAAATAATGACTGCGTCAACCGTATCGCTCGTTTACGAAAATTATAATTAATGCGGCTCGCGTGCGACGGATAACGAACCTATCGTTATACGTTTGCGTTACTTCTACAATACCGCAAAGTCTTTCGTCGTGATCTTTGCCCGCGGTATAATATGTGCAGCACCGCGATCAAACTTATATGCAGGACGTGAAACTTGAGATATACATCGTCGCTCGAGCTGCGCGCATGATAGTTGTGCAACACGTTATACGGCACGAGAGAACGAGAAAAAAGAAAAAACCGACACACAGGGGGAAACTTTGATCGTTGCCCGAAAACTATGTGTGTCTCTGCTGCGATCGGATACGGTAATATCTCGTCCAGCGCACACACATATAGTAGACATTCTTTATAGCCGCGGCTTAACCTCGACTGGATCGCGAGTCGCTTGGTCGAAGTTGAAATAAAAAGGGGAAACAACTAGAGTTGAAAATAAATATTGACATCTGCGGATAAGAGTGCATAAGTACAAAAAGGCCAATATCACGATTTAACGTTGTTGTTGGAGCGGCAGAGAACTTTCGAGTTCGTGTGATTCGCCGTGCCACGTCTGTCTCTGTAACCGGTCACACTTGGAAAAGACGATTGTTCCGAGAAGTTTATATATATATATAATAATGCAGGCAGGCTTATAAGTAGTAAAAGCAACGAGAGAACCAACGATCGAAAGACATTTTTAACGATAAGAATTGCAGCCTCGATTATCCGCACGCATGTAATGTATCAGAGCTCCATGGGAGCAGTTGATCAACAGCAGCATTGACTTTCAATGCGTCTCTCTCTCTCTCTCTCTCTCTGCAGAGGCTCGGATCGCCACGCGAGAGAATTCAATAGTCCGTAAATATTGCTCGAGTATATATAACAGCGCATTTATAGAGCTGCAGAGAGATATCGTAGCTGCCGCGACTTTTGTCACTCGGGTGCTACTTCGGTGTACTATAGTCTGTGTTCCAGGCTAGAAAAGATATATATCGTTTCGCGAAAATTGCATTATATACCGTTCTCATTCTCGCGCGGCCCGCATACATGTATAGTGGCAGCTATTACGTGCGTACGTATATAAACATGCGTGGAATATAGCTGTTATAATATAGCGGAAGTATATGTGTGTACGCAGCTTATACGCATGCTGCTGCAGTGGTATCTAGCTTGTTTCGGTCAGAGACAGGGGAAAAAAAATCTTTGTCATTTGCCTGTTTAACTATATCTACTACTACTGTAAGGCGTGTGCGCAAGAGGTTTATATAGAGAGATAGCTCAAACGATTATTCGCCGATCTCGCGCCCGAGCTCTGTTATTATTACTCTATCCCCTTACGCGACGTGCAGCATGCGTGCGTACTTGTGTGTGTACGGACCGAAAAGCTACTTGCGCTACGGAGCACAGTCCGTTGCTTAAATAAGCCGGAATTTGGACGCTGTAAATCACAATTACATATAGCCCGGGCGGTCCTGATGTAACGCCTGCCGCGGCGTGCGCAACCTTACTCGCTATGTGTAAATACATCTACGTACAGGTAGGTACTTGAAATTGTGTCCTAGAGCGATGGCATGTTCCGCAGCCACAACTTTATACGATATATAGTACGTTTATGCATATAGGAAAAAAGATGAAAGGCTCGATAACGAATTTAACCTCGCGATCGCACACACGGGCCAAGCTACTGCAGTGCGGCGTGCGCAACGATAATTTGTCGCTAAAGGTAAAACACGACAGCAAAAAAAATCGATAAAAAAAAAAGGGAAGAAGGAGGTAGCTTAATGGCGCGACCGCGTAATCGATGAAACGATGAAGAAATGAACGAAAAAAAAAACGACGTACCACGGCTGCTGAGCGCGAGCCTCGAGGGGGCTGCTGATCGGGTAACGAAAAAAAAAGAGAGAGAAAAAAAGCTTTGTATAATCGTTATCACTTGGTTTTCCCGTGTAATGCTCGCGCGCGCCCACGAACCGCGCGGCACGATGCATAATAGGAGAAACAACAAGGCAAGCAAGCAAGAACGAACAAAAGGTATTATAGATCCATTTATCAGCTTGTACCGAGCGTGAAAGCAATTATACGCATTGGCGAACATTTTTTACGATCGGCCGGCAAAACAAAAACAAAATAAGAGCAAACGAGAAGAGCTGTATATTTATATACATATATCGACGAGCGAGCATTAGAGAGTTAAACATTCTGACCGCACTCACTCACGTAATCGCCATTATGCATATAATATATCCCCGAAAGCTGAGGAGGCGTATATACCGCTGCTGCTATACGTGTGCAGATGCATTATAAGCGTTATGCGCAACGAGCACAATGGGACTCGGGCCGCTTATAATTGAGCCGAATCGAGGTGTATATTATAGCGCACCAAATGTATATGCTTACCTATTTATCTGCTTGAGAATGGGCACGGGAGTCGTCGAAGGATGATGGAACTGGCCGAGAGCCGCTCCGAAGCAGAGGCACGTCGTTATCGCCTGCAATCGATGACAAAAAATAATGAATGCATGACCAAGAAATGAACCATCGTTGTTGTATATACATAATATTACGATACTACTGCGCGCCGGTGTGACTACGCGATTTCGTAATCGACGTGTATCATCGTCGTCGCCCCCCGAGAGTCGAGACCGCGAAGGACTTATGGCTGCCCGATTTTTTCGATCGCTGAAAGTCGATCGAGCGAAACAAGAGCTATTACAAGAATCCCTAATAGCTGCGTGCGTGAGCTGTGTTACATTCATTCAATCGTGTGCGACGACTATCTATATGTATTGCGCGATTTGCGGCTTGTGGATTGCGCGCGTATAGGTAGCTAGGCACGCGTGCAGAGTCCAGTATCTTTACATATGCAAGTGTATTTGTATATATCGGCATTTATAATACTCGATGGAGACACACCAGCCACTGTGCGCGATCGTGGGCTAAGATATAATATACCGGGGCGCTCGGTCGCGCGTAGGTATTTCCACCTGGTAACACGTACTGTTGCCGCGCGCGCGGCCTTAAAAGGTATTCGTAAAAATTATTCGACATTTCGACCGCATAACTCGGACGAAAAGGAAAAATAACTAAGGCGTGGTGGCTTTCGTTGACTCTTGTTTTTCTTTCGTTTTCTTTGCCGGGCGTGTGCGTGCACTTGAGACGTAAATTTTTTGTACGACTGCGCGAAACGAATAAGCTGGTATTTCAATTAGATTTTTCTAGACTAGCAACTAGTCTTGGCGGATCGGTGTTTACAAAATTTTTCCCTGTACTTTTTTAAGCGTATAACACTCGTTATGGTTATGTTGGTGGTGGTGCGCGCGCGATCGATTCAACAATTCGGTGACACTCGCGGTAGAGATCGGCAGGCGTTCATTATATTATTTCGCGCGAAAAGAAAGCTGCGCGGCGAATTATAATGACGAAACTACAAGAAAAAAATATGATCATTCTCGACGCATTATATATCCAATATAACAGGTGCTGGTTGGGTGGGAGACAAATTACAGTCACGATCGCGTCAATTATTAAATATATTGCATGCGCCACAAGCCAAGATCGGACCATTATCATCGCAACGGAAGTGCTGCCGATTTCCCGAGACGCTGTCGTTTTTGAGCGGGTGCGAATCGGAGGAGGAGACATCTCGATGGTTCGATGGACGCGCACTTCGCGGAGAGACAGAAAAAAAAACAGCGGTTTACACGATTGATCCGCGACACTTTCACACTCGCGCGGCCAAGAGAGTACAATCAACGACGATAGATCACAAGGATGAAAAATTCTGTCGGTGAAGCAGCTGCACCGCTGCGTCGATGCCTTGTGACCGTTGTCCCTGTTACCGATCTGCCTCTGCTGCTAGATCTGCTACTGTTACTGCTGCAAGTATGACTGCGACGAATCCTTTTGTGTAATAATGCAGACGATTCGAACTTTCGTTCCAAGAAACTTTATATATATTCTCTGCAGCTGCTCTTGTCTAATAAGGCAGTGGTATCGTGTACACACAGTCTATATACAATATGTGTGTATGTGCTCCGTTAAAAGGTTCACCGCGCGAAACAAAGGCGCATCTCACGAAAAACGATTTCACCGCTTGGGTTGCATTATGCGCTGCATCTATGTGCACGGGTTTATGTTTCTTTTCTTCGGATGGTATCGCGCGATTATTGTAATGTACGTTTATGCGGTGCCCGGAACAACAAAAACAACCAAACAACAACAACAACACCCTCAGTCATAAACGCGCGCACGACGTTGCCGATCGCGTACCTCGATCGCCAAAATTTAATGGGTAAAAGCGTGAACTCACTAATAAACGCATTTTCCCGCCTGCTGGTCGTCCGCGTCGAAGGTTTCTCTTGTTTATGATAATAATACACTCCTGTATATAACAATGTATAAATGCTATGGAATCGCTGGATTCTTATGGTGTAGTACACTTGGAGTAGCAGTAGAGCCGGTGGCGATTGTGCACACTCCGACTATATAAAGATCGCCTCGCGCCGCTCGCAGTACGACTTATATAGGTCCCCATCGGGAGCGGCGCGGTTGCTATATAGCGCGCCGAGCGAGGAAAACGGGGCCCACCCATTGGGCCTTGCTTGCGCCGCCGGCCCATGTTGCTGCTGCTGCTGCTATAGAGGCCACGCGCCAGCCGCCGCAGCCGTTCTCCTCCCTCGGCGCGGCTCTGGCGCCGATTTCTGCCGAGCTGTGCTCTAGCCTGGCTCGCGGAATATTTGTGTGTAGCAGGTACTTCTATTGTGCAGTTGCCGAGTGCTGCGCACCGATCGCTACCTGGAAATTACATGTGCTAAGGAGCTCTGAGCTCGCGAGTGCTATGATGGGTGCAAGACACGAGCTCGTAGCGAGCTACATATATGTATGTATCGTGTAGCGGCGTAAGACGTGTACACATGCGTGTACAGCAGGCCATTATTTCATGTGTAACATAGCTCTCCGCGCGCTGCAGACGCTGCCGCGCACACGCCTCGATTACAAGGCGCAGGTGTAGAAAATAGATTTTTACGATCTGCAAATTGGATATAGGTGCACCTATACTCGAGCGGCGCAGATCGCTATCTCTGTTTAGTGGCTGCTGCTGCTGCTGCTGCAGAAAGAGATGGAGAGCATAGGAAGAAAAAAAAAGGAAAACTTTGCCTTTCGGCGCTCCGAGCGTTAATTGTCGTTATTCGTTGCGCGCGCGTATAGTTCTGCGGGGCTATTTCCTGATCCGTATGGAATGCAATGCCTACTGCCGATCTCTATATATATATATCAATACATAAGAAGCCGATTTTCCGCGTTTGACTTTTTTTTGTGTCCTTTTATTATTATTACTCATGGCCTCGTGAAACGACCGAAAGATTTGAATTTTCCGCAGCGCGAGTGGGCGAGACCCACACGCGCGTACTACGTCGAGATCGTTATGCATTTATCTCGCGCGGGCTGCAGCACAAGGCAGAGAGACTAGGCGAGAGAGTATGACGCAAACTTTCGTCGTGTGGACTATCGCGCAGACACGCGCGTATAGATATATATATTGTACGCACGCAGCTGGATTATATGCCGTAGCGTACGTAATAAGACTAGTTTTCTTGAGAGTCGAGGTCGGTTTTTGACCTTTTACGTTCTCTATTATATATAAACTATATATCAGAGCTCGCGAGCGCAGCTGTATATACAAATGATCGTTTCCCCCGCTGTTAATCATGCAAAAACTAGTTTTCGCGATAAGAATGCTTACACGCGTATTGGATATATTACGAGGCTGCGCAATGGTACGCGCATGCCGTACGCCACTCCGCGAACCCCAGGAAAGGATATGAAAAATTAAATTTGGACGCGAAATGCACTGGCTGCGCTAAATTAGTCACTGGTCTCTTTGTAAAACGAGTGCATTAAAAAATAACTCGACCAAATTCCACATAATGAAAAAGGCCATATACGCGGCCCAAGAATTTAGCCTCTATTAGCAAGGCTGCATTCCAAAAATTACCTTTTCGCGTTCTCGCGTGAACTGTACCGCGCCGTGTTCGCTGTATAAATTTTCCGAACTTTATTTTAATTTTATGGACTCGAGCAGAATGGATAATGCATTATGGAAAAATAGAGACACGCGCGCGGTGTATAATTCCCAGGCTCGGACTGCACGCAGTACCTACATATTTTGCATGCTCGCCGCGCGAGTCATTTTTCCGATATGGCGTCAATTAATAGACATTATATTAAATTCCGGTCTGTGCGCGGGTCGCGTGCGCGCAATCGCGCGCGCTTTACCGATTTTTACACGCACGAGTGTGCTTTTCTTTTTCTTTTCTTTTTTTTACACAATACTAAAACCGAATTCGCGGAACAAAAAGTCGATCGGGAACGCATTAACGAACCTTACATAAAAGAAACACACGCGTAATCGCTGGGCAGGATCGAGGCAGTTTATTCAAATCATTTTCGCTGTTCGCGACGTTATGTAAAGGAGTTTTCGGTAATACATAGAGGCGGAGGGTGCGTTCGATAATTGCCGCGTGAAAAATGTTATTTTTTTCAAATATTTGATTTATCGCGAGCAATAACGGACAATTCTCGCAATGAATTTTATTGTATTCATTATAATTACACGAAAATGAATGATATTGTATCAATAAACACGCGTTGTGTACGAGCATTTCTCGATAAAAGATCTCGAGCAAGGCCAGCAACAGCAGCAGCACTGCCTATCCCCCCGAGTTAAACCAACTTGCGATTTTTCTCTCAAGGACTCGGAGTCCACGCAACAGGATTAAAATACTCTCTCCCTGCTATGTTTATACGCGAGAAATTACCTTACGCGCGCATTACATAGGCTCGAAGGTTTTTGTGTGTGTACGAGCGATGCCAGACCAAAAATGTGCCGTATAATATAATATAAAACTGCAATATACATGTGACATTAATTTTATTTTTACGGGACAGCTTATACTCGCAAGGTGAAAAATATGCATAGTTATTATTTTTTAACCGATTATATATTTTAACTCTCGACATTTTATCGAGATACTTATCCGAAGCCAATAACAAGCTATTATTATTACAAACGGTTTGCTTGCATTTCATTACTTATACACAAAGGAAAAATTTCATTGGGCGTTCTCTCTGCCTGTCTCGGACGCGACGGCGTTTCACTATTATATACAGACACACACACGCACACGCGTCACGATCTCGATGCGATACACGCATCGAGACAGTGTAACGCGATCTACATAAAATGAGTTACTAAGCATAATAAGCGAGCGTTAAGTTTTAGAAAGGACAGAGATCCCGCGCGCGCTTGCTGTGTATGTGATGGCGCACTTTATAAGCCCATAAGATTTTAATTAAAACGGCTTATGACACGCACCACCTCGGCTCGAGCTCGAGCAAAATTGTCAAATTGATTTCGTAATTCGCGCGTACAGTATACAGTAGAGTACCCCGCGTGGAGTCGACGCCTAGATTTTAAAATGTTATCCTGCGATGCACTGTGTCATATTACAAGACATGCAGAGTACTCGAGTGACGCGTCGGTATAATGCATAAATAATACGTCAGATTAGTCGGTTGATCTCTGCATCAGCGCAATCCTTTTACAACCATTTCATTATAATGAGATCATCGAAATTTTTCACGCTACGATGTGTACGAGCTACATGTATAAAGCAACAGCGAGCTTAAGAAATTTCCTTCGCGATATGGATTACGCCGAGCTTGAATTTTTTCTTCTCGTCGTTGCGATTTCTGCAGACTGTAAGATATCATGAGAAACGACGCGTATTCGACGTTCTATCGATAAATTCAGGAAAATCATTGAGATTCTTCTCGAGTGCTCATAGTCGAGATGCAAAGAAAGATCGAAGAGTACAACGAGCGACCGCGACCGTACTATAGCGAAGCTTCCACCGAGGCAAAAGTTAAAAAAGAATAATCTAGATTCCGAATAACGAATTGCATGTACTCCTCATCGCAGCAGAGCCCACTGCAGTGCACCGTTGGAGTGCGCAACTTTTACCAAACGTATATGTATGTTCGAGAGAGATGTACTCTTGATAATATAACTCGGCTTCTTTGGAAAATTGCTTTTTTACACGCTTTTCACATAGACACGGACATAATACCACTACCACGCACTGCTCCGCTGTCTGTTTGTGTATGTATGCGTTTGAACCTGTTATTATTTTACGCAACAATGCGCGAGTGTGTGTATAATATACCTACGATATATATGTGTGTGTGTGTGTGTAATGCACGCCAACCGAACCGCCGCCTATATAGTAGTGCATAATGCTCCGATACATGAAAGGTTTATCATCGAGTGCTCAGCGGCGAGCACACGAGAAAATGCATAACACGTATATAGATATATAGCAGCACTGTATGACGGCAGCTGCGCGTATATACACATACGACTTTCTCGCCCCGTGTGCTGCGCTATACTAGTGCAAGAGATCGCACGATTCGCCAATGCCCGCGATTGATTCGTACACGTATAACGTAATGCGTTGCTCGAACGCGCTAATGTTATAATGCGCGACAATTGGCGCATGGAATCGCGAGGCGTTGGCCCGTGAAATATGATGGATGCGCGACGGCGGCGGTGGCGGATTATCGCGAGCTGAAAAAGTTTAACTTATAATATATTCGCGCTCAGCTTATTTGGGCAACGCACAGGTGTTTTGCTTACCATATATGCGAACGCGCGCTTATGACCCGCTTTATATATCACGCAGAGTTCTCTAATTCGCACGAGCACGTGACGAAAAATTTCGGACCACGCGTGTGTTGAGTTTTTTTCACGAATATTAGGCGCGAAACAGTCGGTGACACACTGATGCGCGCGTTCACCCATATATTTTTGGCTTGAGTAGTACACACAAAATCATATAGTATGAGCCGATCGAAAATTAATTGGCTCCAGCTTGAATGGCTATCAATGACGTTGTTTACTTTTTCACGGGGGTACGCTTCTATTATGCCATTGTCAACGCCCGAATTCAAGCGACCGTGCTAAATCGATCGATAATGCGCCAATTAATCTTAATACATTTAATTAATTATGTTTATATCAAATCCAAATAAGAGTATTAAAAAAAAAGAGTATAAAAAGCAAAGGTTTGACGGAAGATAGGCATCAGTCGATCGATCGTCGAGTAACCGTGTAAATCGACCCGAACAATAACGTCGCGAAAATCATGAGGGTTTACAGTGTGTTATTCTTAGTCGTTTCGACGGCTCTCGTTAGTAGATTAATTTTTCATCATTTTTCCTAATCGTAATTTTCAAAGTTTACCAAACGATTCTAACGATCCTTACTCTGTTCAGGTCGCTAACGCAGGCTTATGGGGCGACGCCACCAGCTGGTTCAACAAGCAAGTGCACGTGGTCCAAGCAGGTGTACAAGAAACAGTGAAAAAAGCCGAGGAAACGGTGAATCTCGTCGGTAAACAAGCTCAGGACGCAGCTGACTACGCCAAAAATGAAGCCAAAAAAGCCGAAGAATCCATCAATTCCATCGGTAAACAGGCAGAGGAATCCTTCAATTCCATCAACAAACAGGCTCAGGACTCCTTCAATTCCATCAATAAACAGGCTCAGGACACTTACAGCGATTCAGCCAACTGGGTGGTATCCCAAGCCGACGCTGTGAAAGACGCAGCCAAACTGGTCGAGAACTCGGTCAATCAGTTCGGTCAGAATGCCCGCGATACGTTCGCCAACGCCGCCAAGGAGGTAGACAACCTCGTCAGCCAAGCGAACCTCGACAATCTGGCCAAGCGCATCGAGGCGGAGGGCAAGAAGATCGAGGCTTTCAGCCAGCAGCAGTTCGAGGCTCTGCAATCGAGCATCAATCCCAAGGACCTGACCGATCTCGGCAAGAGCCTGACCAAGAACTTCGAGTCGATGGCCAGCGACATCGAGGGCACCTATAAGCAGGCCCGCGACGCCCTCAACAAGGACAAAATCATGAGCATGTACCAGGACGTGAAGAACGCCGCCGAGGGCAAATTCCTTGAGATGCAGGACACCCTCATCAAGACCCTGAAGGAGCAGGTGGGCACCATTCCCGAGAAGGCCTTTGAGGCCGTCCAGGTTCTGAAGGTGGGAGCCATGAACATGAAGCATCAATTAAACAACACCTTGCAAGCTGTGGTCAAGAAAGTGAGTAGAATTCATTTCGTATATAATTACTTTTCACGCACGTACCGTCGCATCGGATATATTTTGAATCATTATCTTACACCTTCCACCATTCGTGCTTTATCAGGCCGATGACGAGATCGAGCAAATCATCAAGGCGGTCGAGGGCACCGGCATCGATGTCAAAAGCTGCCAGAGAAGCGTGGGCTACCAGCTGCAGCTCGTCTTAAAGGAGATCCTTGGCTCGTCCACGGGCTGCTTCAATCAGAAACTCTCCGAGGGATCCTTGCTGTTCTGCCACATTACGGACAACGTCAGAGAGATCGCCGAAGACTTGGCCTCCTTGAGCAGTGGTGTAAGTTGCTGTATACGAATAACAAAACAAAAGCCAGAAAAGCAGAAAATCATCTCATCGTGATCGATGCGTACGCGTATGCGTGCGAAATTTAATTACGTGGATCATTTTTTGTTTTGCAGGACGTGCAAAAAGTCCAGGAACTCGTGCAGCACTCGTTCGACATGGTGTCCAAGGCTACCGCCACGGCCGACATGCTGTACACGCTGCCCCAGTCGCTGACCCACTGCGTCAACATGATGAATTTAGGGTCCCTGAGCACATCCACAAGCCACATTGTCAAGGGCGTCAAGGAGTGCGTCAATGCCCAGTACAAGCAGTTCGTCAGCAGCGTCAAAGCCGGCGATGTTCCTCCCCAACAGACCGTCGATACGTTTTTGGGCAAAGGAATGGTGGCCGTCAACGACCACGACCTCGACCTCATCTGCAGCGACGACGACCCAAGGGCTGCCCAGAAAGCCGCACTCGGCACGCCATCGCGACCCAAGATGCAGTGCCCCGTCATTGCCATTCCATTGTAAGCCAGCTGTGTATAGATCATAAGTAGAAAAGTCCCTCCCCTCGTTGTAGCTTTTTCTCTCGATTGTAAAATATGTACGTATTATTAGCGTGTAACCAATTACCGAGGATCGTGGCCGAATATTTCGCGAGCCACGACACACGAATCAAATTAGCCTAAATAGGACGCGACTCGATATATACCCGCAAGCCTATTGGGTACGGTTGTGCTTTACTGGACTGGTTGCTACAATTATTTTAAATAATTATGAAAAAGAAAGGAAATATAATTGTACATTACTGCGGCATGAAATGTCATTAGGCGCATATTGCTTCAAAGAAAAATAAAATTACGAAATTGATTAATTGCCTTTCTCTCTCTATTACTATCTCACTCTTTCTCTTTTGTATTGTGGTCAATTAGTACATGAATATTTCATTATTCAAATCATTTTTCGATTAGCAAAATTTAATTTCAATGCGCTTTGATTTCGAGAGTTGAACTGTATATCGTAGCTATGAATACCATAGATTAATTTCAATAAAAAATAAAACAATGGAAGAAATTGAACATATGGAGTAGAATTTGTCACAAATTGCCATTCAATTTAAACGCCATCTTTTTTACAAAGTATTAACTGAAGTACAGTATCGCTTGCAAAGAAATACGTTTCTTCTTGCAATCTTTGAATACTATTGAAAATAAGGATTTTCAAAAGCTAAAAATTTGAATCACATTGTACGATAATGAGCAAAATTTAATAATAAAAATATCAATATTAAAATAATACCATATGAGCTATACAGTTGCAAAAGTATCTACAATACCGACCATAGCTCGGAACAGTATAAGTTATATCGCATGAGTTAGCTTTTTACCTGCTAAACATATTGCGGCATTCAGGTAACCGTAGATACACAAGTTAATGAAATCGCGTTTATTCAAAAACTATCGTTCTATCTCACGCGCACGGTAGTCAATGCGAGCATAAATGGAAATTAATTTTTCTCGCGTATAGCAGTATACAACACGTCGTTGCCACTCGTATAGTTTTTCTCATCTTCCAACAGATCGAGTTACATGTGCATCGATACACGTATTGGCTTTCCATCGACCGCAGCAAGCAAGATGTAACTAATTCTCTCCGCGCGCGACACTGACACACTATAAATGAAAAAGTAATCGCCTCGTTGATTTTCTCGTTTTCCAATCGATAATTCATGGCGCGCCGCACGGCATTACTCACACCGGCCGCGCGTCGAGTCATGATAATGCGCACGAGAACGGGCAAACGTCGTTAATAACTGCGCGTGAATCGCGCGCTCATCGATTATGCAGATTCGGGACGATGCTATACGCGACACACGTGTGCACAGACTCTGTCTCCAAAATATCGGTATCGCGTAGACGCTTCGCGAATCGATCGCTTTCAAAAGCCAAGCAGGTCAAGCGATAAAGAGCCGCGTGAAAAAAAAAACCTCGGTGTATATCGGGTACGACCGAAAATAGTTTGGGCGCATTTATGCCTCGATAGAAACGTGTGTAACGTCGATGATAGCACACATATGTCTCGCAGAGGCACGAGATTCAGCGCCGATTTTATATATAGAGTCCAGTAGTTGATGTGGCCGGCCGCGTGATATTTTCGCGTCTACTATACTGCGGAGTTGGGAGCCGAGAGAGTCGATAGCCGGCTGGCATTTACGAATAAGTGCGTATATTTATAAGTACTCTCTCGCTGCTCTCGTCGTTTCACTCTCGCTCTCACTCCGATTCGCGCAAATATTTGCGAGGTCAAGCTCTCTCGCGTACTCGCGCGTATTATGCCGCCTGCAGTCGACTCTATATGGCGCGGCCAACTGTAGCCCCATATACACACCGAGCGATGATCGTCGCTTCGCACGTATTATAATCGGCTCTACGGGAGCTGCTTGATTTTCGATGAGCGACGACGATATAAATGGATGTAATAACGCGCGCAAACTTATAAATATTACATTTCGTATAGGCAGCTAGTATAGTATATAGCTGGCGAGCGTCGCCGCGCTTATCTCGCAATTCTTTATATCATTACGCGCATTGACTCATCGTCGTCGTCGCGGCCCGATAGGCCGAGCACATTCACTCTACTACTACATATTATATTCATAATAATAGGCCATAAGTGGTATCGCAATGCTGTGGGCCACGGAAAAATAGGAGCTCTGATTACGGCTCTCATTCGACTAATAACATGCATGTATTTGATGCAAAAAGCCCAGGCTTGCGCTCAACGACGTGTATTACAATAATATGAAAGTCGTGAATCGGCGCCCCGACAAGTCACCGATCTCGAGCATTATATACGTGCGTAGCGTCCGCAACCTTTCTCGTCGCTCATGTTGCTGATGGCCTTTTTTCGACTACTCGCGCGTGAACTGCAACTGCTGCTACCGCCTGCACTTGCGTGCGGCTCCGAGACACGCATTATGCCATTGGCAGCTCGCTTGCCTCCGTACTTGCATACAAGTACTAACTGCTCCTGGCCGAAGACCGCAACATCGGCACGCGCATATGTGTATGTAAGAACCGCCCGACGTACACGCATATTATACGACTTGCTCTGCCCGTCGATGCTCTCGACATCGTGCGTGTGCAAGTGTATATAAGCGCGAAGCGAGTAGTAGTCTTCTTCTTTTTTTTTGCTGCTGGCCTTTCGAGAGGAAGAAAGAGAGAAACTTGCTCTCCCCGATCGAGTCCGGCCGCGCTGCACATATATACGCGTTTTATACATACATATACACCGACTGCCGAGCAATGACGATAATATGTATTACGCGGCGGCATATGTGCGCGACGACGACGACGATGATTGCGATTCGCGCGACGACGGGGCGACGACAATCGCCGCAGCCGCGGCTACTCGCAACTTCGCAGCACACATGACTGACACTGCGGTTTCCTCCTAGATTATACGTATTCATGCCATATATGTCGATACGTTATACACATTTTTGCAGACGTACATGATTCGAACACATTTTATAAGTCGATCGTCTATAATGTATCGTCCCTAGCGTCATGCAAATATTCGCGCTTCTGCCTCTCTCTCTCTCTCTCTCTCTCTCATTCGCGTAGAAAATAAAGATGACGAGAGATAAGGTTATGGAAGCTGCTCGCTTGCGCCTGCTGCTAGTTGATACTGCTGCTGCTGCTGCTGCTGCTGCTGCTGCTGCTGCTGCTGCTGCTGCTACTGAGTGCTTTGTATTCGGGGTGTGGCTATAAAAGCGCATACAAACACTTGTAAATAAAATTCAACTTGCGGAATTCAAGCTCATTACCGAGAAGACTGACTATATAATTCACTCTATGATCTCTCCGTTTTTTCTTTCTCTCTCTCTCTCTCTCGCTCTCTCGATCTCTCTCTTCCTCCTCCCTCCTATCTCTCTCTCTCTCTTCATCGCGGATACATGCACGGTCTGACTTTGGCACGGTGTGTTTTTTTTTTTATCAGTGCTGCGTGATTAATCGTTCGACTCTCGCCAGTCGAATGCTTTGTTGTACACATCAATCTGTGATTTCGAGCTCGCGCAGCTCCGTGTAAATGCGGAGAAAAACGCGCTGTGCGCTTGGCAGAAGACGTTTTTGACGTTCCTTACATTACAGCAAGTGCCATGAATTTGTAAACTGCTCTTCTCTCCTCCCCTCTGTGCCTGCCTGCCTGCCTACCTGCCTGGCCTGTGCCTGTGCCCGTGCCGAGAGTATTACAACAATTTTAATATATACGGCACATATACACGCATTCGCGATATACGCTTGTTTGTAGCAAATGTATAGTACTTATCGTACGTACATCCAATTATTACACATAGGCCGCGAGACGTCCATATCTATGTATATGAGAAACTCTGTGTACACCAGTGCGGCAGTCCATGATACCCAGGGGTGAGAGCCCTATGTGGGATGTTGAGCGCGGGCACAGCTGCCTCTCAGACCCATCACAACAACACCGAGTACACGGAGATGTCTCGCCTGGCAGATTACTTCGTCATCGTGGGTTATCATCATGAGAAAGAAAGTCAGTATTTTTATTCATCCAACACCCCTATGTCTGCTTTGACATTTGCCTTTGTTTGTTTACTTTACTTTTTTTTGTAACTTCTATTTTTGTTGTTGCCTGCTGCGCTCGAATTTATTTTTCAATGCATCTGATTACTGAATTTTGCAGGGAGTGGTACCAGCAGTGGATTGATTCTGCAAAGATTTCCTGAAAAAGATTGGCCTGACACTCCTTTTATCGAAGGGATAGAATGGGTACGTTTGATTGTGAACAATAAATTCTGATTTGTTTTGATTACGATTATTACATTTTAATATTTTTGTTCAGTTTTGTCAACCACAAGGATGGGCTCTGTCCACCGAAAGGCAAGAGCCAAGGTTCTTTGTGTCCATATTAACAGACATAGATGCAAATCGTCATTATTGTGCTTGCATGTGTTTCAATGAAACCGTATCCATAACACCTAGCAAGCCAGTAGACGATGAAGAAGATCCTGTCGATGGAGATAGTCAGACTTTGGTCAAAGCTTTGCCAGCCATAGCTCATCATAGCATTATGTATGCGCCAAAATGTTTGGTTTTAGTATCCAGACTTGACTACATTGAAACTTTTCGTGTAAGTTAACAGTTAATTATATTTACAATTATTGTGTACTCAAAATATTAATTGTTTGTTTCATATTTTAGAATTGTCTAGGTATCATTTATACAGTTTATGTAGAGAATCTAGGAATTCCTTTAGAAACTTTAGTAGGTAATATTTTGGGATGTATACAAGTTCCACCTGCTGGTGGACCTCAAGTACGCTTCAGTATTGGTGCAGGTGATCGTCAAGCTCTGCAGCCACCAATTAGTCCTTCTCTTCCCATAACGCATACTAGTGTTAATTTGTTATTCCAACAATTGGGTAATAAAGAATTTTGTTAAATATTGATTCTGTAAACAATTTAAAATTATGCATTAACTAATTTTTTGTGCTTTCTTGTAGGTATAAGAAATGTGTTAGTATTATTTTGCGCTGTCATGACAGAGCACAAACTTCTTTTTCATTCAGCAAGTTACTCGAGATTAACAGAAGGTTGCAGAGCGCTCACAGCACTTATGTACCCATTTCGATATACTCATGTGTACATTCCACTATTGCCAGCTGCACTAGTAGAAATTTTAAGCACACCGACTCCTTTCATTATGGGAGTTCATAGCTCTCTAAAATCTGAAGTAGCAGAACTGGTAAGATTTCTGGATATCTGGAGTAAAAATATTGAACTAAACAAAATCAACTAATTCATTAATATTTATAGATGGACGTAATCGTAGCTGATCTAGATGGTGGTTCAATAATTGTGCCAGATGGTGTGTCGCTGTCCCTTCTTCCAGAACCATTGCTATCTCAAACTCAAGATGCACTGTCCTTAGTGCTTCAACCCGAGCTAGCATGCGCTGACTATGCCTTTCCGCCTCTAGCTACGAGAGCACCGCATCCACCAATGCTTGACAAGGAATTGCGCGCAGTTTTCATGAGGACATTCGCTCAATTACTTCAGGGATATCGTAGTTGTCTCACTCTCATACGGATTCATCCAAAACCAGTCATAACTTTTCACAAAGCAGCTTTCCTGGGCGAGCGCAATTTAACAAAATGTGATTTCACGACTCGTGTCTTAGACTGCATGTTTTATACGTCATTTATTGCTGAACGTGGACCCCCGTGGCGGCCTTGCGACGTATGGGACGAATTGTACAGTAATTTGAGTGATCAATTGAAACAAGAATCTCAGGATTCAAGTATGTATAGCTGCAAACAGTAGAATTAAACGGTGCTAGTATCTCATGCATTGATTTTTTTTTACAGGATTAATTTTAACGCATATCCAAGAACTGGCACAACAATTATATACAAATGAATATCCGAATCCTCAACCTTATGTACAAAAAATATTGAAGCCCCCAGAAGGAGCTTTTGCACGGATTCATCAACCTTTATTTCCTCAAATCAATACAGAAACGGTACAAGCCATCATTGACGAAGGCTTGGCTAAAAGTAATCTTAAAGTCAGGTAAACCATTGACACGTTTCTCCTTTTATATCACGATCATTTTTAGTCCATTATATGCATTTGAAAATTGTTATTTTCATATAATTATTATCACGATCCTCACCATCATCATCATCATCATCACCACCACCATCACCATCATCATAAAAATTGGCTACAAAACTCATCAATAGACTGTCGTCGCTTAGGCCAATTCAACCTCGCATCGTACCGACAGGACCACACATATCTCTGGTACACGATACCCGACATCTGGTCAGTAATTCAGCCCGCAGGCTCGAAGTTCTTCGCAGCTGCATTAACTGCATATTCGAGAACAAAATCGCAGACGCTCGCAAAACATTTCCAGCTGTTTTGCGAGCTCTTAAGAGCAAAGCCGCGCGACTCGCTCTGTGCATGGAGCTTTCGCAGCACGTCGTTGGAAACAAGGCAATGCTAGAACATCAGCAGTTCGATCTAGTCGTCAGATTGATGAATTGTGCCTTGCAAGGAGACTCGTCCATGGACGAACACGGTGTGGCCGCCGCCCTGCTGCCATTGGCTGCTGCATTCTGTCGAAAATTGTGCACTGGCGTCATCCAGTTCGCTTATACCTGCATCCAGGTCAGTTCAATCAGTTACTAATAGTTTTATTATTCAACTTTGAAATCCAGACGTGGTTGCCTATATTTTTTAGTCATCACTGTTAGTCATATAATTCAGATCGGTCATTCGCTTATCTATATTGTGTTGTTTTATTATAATAATATAATAAAACAATAGCGTAACATTTTCATTCAAATGGGTATTCATCATACATGATGAATAATTCAAATTAATCATTAATTTATCGAGATAATTTTATTCTATTGTAAAGCGATTATTTATCTTGAGTTGAAACGTTGTCTCACTTTTTCTATGTATATTTGTGCAGGAACACGCCGTGTGGCAAAATCAACTTTTTTGGGAAGACGCATTCTATCAAGACGTGCAGAAAGACATAAAACGTCTTTATCTCCCTGGCGAAAACCATCGCTACAACGACGGCAGTAGCAATAGCTTATTATCACCAACGAGTCCACGCGACACTCGCGATCTTTTCATGCGCGATCGTGCCTCGTTTTATCGTGGCCAAGAAGCATCTGCCTTGGAAATAGCCGCCGAACAAATGCGAATAGCGTCTGGTATAAATGCCGAAAAACAGAAAGAACTGATATCAAGCGAAGAAAGCACTCTGTACAGTCAAGCAATTCACTACGCCAATAGGATGGTCAATCTGCTTGTACCTCTGGACATTGGAGCCAAGACGCATCGGCAAGACCACATTGTGAACGAAGATGAGCGTGCCAGCAATAGCATCACTAATAGGTAATTTTCCTCGTCTTAATCATTTACGCTGTTCCCTTACTACACGAGCTTTTGAAAACTAAATTATTTTGGTAAAGCGTTGCAAGCGATAGCGGAGATGCAGAATCCGGCTTCGAAGAAACTGACCCCGGAGAATTGGGTAGCGCAGTTATACGGCGAGTGTCACGTTTCGTCGACCGGGTTTGTACCGAAGGTGGCGTAAGTGCTGAACACGTCAGGTGCCTGCACCAAATGGTTCCTGGCCTCGTACATATGCACATCGAAACCCTTGAAGCGGTCCATCGGGAGAGCAAACGCTTGCCACCAATACAAAAAGTAAGGCAGATCTTATATTTTTATAAACATTTTTATGACAAATTTTTATGACAAAAGTAACTGAAAAATATTTTTCTTTTAATCAGCCGAAAATATTGACTCCAAATATGCTACCTGGGGAAGAAGTCATAATGGAGGGTTTGAGAGTTTATCTTTTACCCGACGGTCGTGAAGACAGTTCATCTGGCGTGCTCAAAACACCACCATTCCTACCTGCAGAGGGTGCAATATTCCTTACTAATTATCGTATCGTCTTCAAGGGCATACCTTGCGATCCTTTTGGTAAATTAAAATACTTTATCAGAATTTGAATTTTTAGATTTTTTCTGATTTATGATATGAACGCATGTATTAATAGCTTGCGAGCAAATGGTTGTTCGAGCGTTTCCGGTGACCTCTCTGACAAAAGAGAAAAAGGTACCCGTGCAACATCTAGCTCACATCGATCAGTGCCATCACGAGGGACTTCAGTTACGCTCCTGCACCTTTCAATTGATAAAACTAGCTTTTGACGAAGAAGTCACGCCGGAGAACATCGAAACTCTACGCAAGCTCGTTCACAAAGCTCGCAATCCACCACATATATTCCATCATTTTGCTTTCAGTGGACAAGTTCTGGTTGCACCTACAAATCATAATAAGGGAAAAGAAAAACACGCAACGTTAAAGTAAGTCCATTTTATTTTACTTGAGAGATTGTCATCGTTAAATTGCTCATTTTTTTTCTTCTTCAGGGGTTTTGCTAAAAAAACACTATTGAAAACAGCTCGAAAAGCTGGTTTCAAACCGAAACAATCTTCGAAACGACAGAAGTATGTACTGCCGAACATGAATCTCACCACAAATAACAAATACATGACGTCACCTGGTCGCATGAGTTTACCAATTACAGAAAACAGCAACGATCTTAGTCATGACGATGATCTAAGCAGTAAGATAAAAATAAATTACCTCCTATTGTTTCACCTCAAGCGTTTTACCATTCTTTTAATATTTTTTTCAAATTGCAGTTGATGAATTTGAAGTGCCAGGGATCGTTGTGTCTCCTGTAACTGATGCCAAAACCTTGGAACGTCTTTCCGAGCGCTCCTACGTGCGAGATTGGTACAGATTAGGTTTATGTCCGAGTAGTCCACACAACAATCGTCGCAATGAACCATTTAGATTGTCATCAGTCAATTGTGCCTATATGATGTGCCGAAGCTATCCAGCTCTATTCATAGTTCCTAATGCCGTAACCGATGAAAGCATACGCAGGTTTAGCCGGCTATACCGGCACAATCGTATTCCGATTGTAACCTGGAGGCATCCGCGAACCAAGGCTTTGTTGATTCGCGGTGCAGGATACCATGGCAAGGGTGTGATGGGTATGCTAAAAACACATCCGAGTGGAGCTAGCAACCTAAAAGCTAACTCTTCGGAAACAACCTCGTCATTGGAGCTAGAAAAATATTTAGGAGCATTCGTGGCCTCCACTCCGGTATCGGTACTCAGGCAAGGTTCGGCCTGGGGAATGTCAGATAGCTCCTTGAGCATAGATTCATTGTTGTTAGCAGCCGAAGATCGAAATGCCACACCGGAGCAGTCGCGGCGCAATCCATTCAACAAAGCCATGAATACTCTCACTTCATCCGGTGGCAAGGGACCAAAAAGTTTTGGTCGCTGGGGCTCTCTGAAAGATAAGCGACAGAGCTCACAAGCTTCGCTAACGACAGTCAATCATCAACGAGGGACTGTGAGACACTCTGCTGACTCGGATAGTGGCACTGAGTGCGTTCACACTTTTCAACGAGCCGCTCTGTATATACTTGGCGAGAAAGCACACATGAAAGGTGTTATTAAAGCAGAATCTGCTCCCAAGACTGATTTTATACCAGTTGAATTTTACGACGTTCGACATACGAAAGCTGCGTTTAAAAAGTTGGTGAGAGCTTGTGTCCCGAGCTCGCCTAACATTGAACCAGACACTAGTTTTTATAAGTAAGAAATTACATTCGATTTTCATCTTAAAGATAAAACAATATTTTTAAACATCATAATGTATTAAAATTATTTTCAGATTGATTGAAAGCTCAGAATGGTTGCAACAATTGCAAAGTCTTATGCAATTATCAGGAGCTGTCATTGACTTGATGGATTTACAAGGATCATCAGTAGCAGTATGTTTGGAAGACGGTTGGGATACAACAGCCACTGTTTGTTCAATAGCTCAAGTCTGCTTGGATCCGCATTATCGTACAATCGAAGGTTTTCGAACACTCATTGAAAAGGAATGGCTGGGATTTGGCCATCGTTTCGGACATCGTAGCAATTTGGCGGCCAACTCGCAAACGACCAATTTCACACCGACTTTTCTACAATTCCTCGATATCATACATCAAATACAGCGACAGTTTCCTTTGGCTTTTGAATTCAATGATTATTACTTGAAATTTTTAGCTTATCATTCAGTATCGTGTAGATTCAGAACGTTCTTGTTGGATTGTGAATTTGATAGAGTCGAGTGCGGAATCACTGCAGTCGAAGATAAAAGAGGTTCACTTACTAGTCACCACAAAGGTAAGAACTATTGAAAACTTTTTTTGCTTTCCTAAAACAAATTATAAACATTATTTGTGTATCATGAAGGCGTAGATACTGGTAGTGATGACGAGACAGTTTACCCGGGCGGTAGAATGGCTGGAGCATCCCAAGGTTCCAATCTTGGACAAAGCATATTTGATTATATTGAGAAACAACACGCTCGTTCGCCCTTATTTTTCAACTTTTTGTACTCGCCTAATGGTGAAAATCCTATACTTCGACCGGTCTCGCATCTGCCGAGCCTTGATATATGGAATTATTATTTGGAAGAAGAGCTTGCTCATGGTCCTGCATACGATCTAGAAATACTTCAACAAGATTCACAACAAGAAGAAGAGGCTGAAGCAGCCGATGGTATCGTTAAAAGTAATCGCAAAGCTGTCACTATGGGCTACAACGGAGTTAACAATATGGTACCCGATCAGTTCACTCATCTACTGGAAGAAATTCACAAACTAGAAACTGAGCTTGGTCATTTACCTCAAAAATGGAAAGTTTTGTGGGATAAACTAGAACTGCCCAATACAGATTCATTAACGGTTGGTTAATTTTTACAATATACGTTTTTTGTTGCAAAAAAATCATTTAAATTAAATATAATCATTAATAGTATTTTAATAAATTACCTTTGCAGAGACACGCTTCCTTCAGTACAGCTCTTGTCAGACATCATGGACGATTAATTCATAAACGTTCAACTTTAGAACTGCTTTTGCGAGGTAAACTTGCCGGCGGTTCTGCTACAGGGCCCGAGAGTTCTTCTACTTACGTTCATCCCCACAGGTATAATTATAATTATTTGCTTTATTTAAATTTTTATTGCATCATTTTTTTATTGTTTTGTTTTTATCGTAGGTTTGAAAAGCTTGATACAGCAACACCTCAACATTGCGACGCATGTTCCGGAATTTTATGGGGACCAGTGAAAGCCGGTTTAAGATGTGTTGACTGTGGTCATGTGTGCCATGAAAAATGCGCCGATTCCGTATCAAAAAATTGCACAAAATATAAGGCTGTTGGTTCAGAAAATTTACAAAATCACACTTTGACGCGTAGTGGCGGTGATACTGGTAGCGTTAATTCAAGTAAGTATTCTCAATCTATTATTTGAAATGTTCAATTTTTAATAATACTTGATGCTATTTCAATTATTATATTTGTATTGTAGGTGTAACAACACTACAGACATCGTCACAACAATACTACGAACAATTTTCTAGTAATGTAGCTGAAAATCGTACTCACGAAGGCTTTTTGTATAAACGCGGAGCTTTACTCAAGGGTTGGAAGCAGAGATGGTTTGTTCTTGATTCAATCAAACATCAATTGAGATATTACGATGCTGTTGAAGATTCAAATTGCAAAGGATATATAGGTAATTATTATAATTCATGCAGAGTTGATAATGTATCATGAGCCAAATGTGGATATATTATTATCTATTTATAGATCTTGCTGAAGTTCAATCAGTGACTCCCGCAGCGCCTGTACAAGCTCCGGGAAAAAGGACTGATGACAAATCATTTTTCGACGTGAGTATAATAAAATTTATTATAACATCCGAAATCAATACTGAAAATATAATGATTATTTTACAGCTACGCACAAATCGTCGAACTTACAACTTTTGTGCTGGTGACGCTGCATCAGCTCAAGAGTGGATCGAGAAAATTCAGGCGTGCTTGCAGTAGTGCCTCAATTTTGATCTGACTTTTTATGCTATTGAGAAAATTCGCCAACTGACTGATAGGATTAACGGTCCCACTTTTGTGAAATACTTTTGTATAGCGCACATATATATACTATAAATTATCATAAATGTGAAAAAAGATCAGTAAAAGTAGTTTTTAATTAGTAATGGTTTTTTTTATTTATTTTATGAAGTTTACTACGAAAAAATAATTTATAACATGAAAGTTATAATTATTATGCAAAGAAAATAATATAACTGCTTTATACTATGTGAAAGTTGATGTATAATGCATGAAATAATTTATATTATTGTCAATGTGGAATTAAGTGATTCAAGGCACACTTAATTAAATTTTTATGATAAAAATTGTTTGAAACTTTGACAATTGATTACATAATTTATGGAAGTGTTACATCGTTTTTCTCTTTAATTATATATTATGTAAATGTGTACTATCAAATATAATACAACTCTGCTAGATTTAATTTATCGTCATGCAAATTTAGTTAATGGACAAATATAAAGCTCTGTGTAATTCATTGATATAGGTATATATAATTGTTATAATAGAATAATTTGTATAATTGATTTGCTAAAAAATAAGCTATGATTATCTTTGTACAATTGTTGAAGTATACAGGGAGTGATGGAGATTATGAATTATATATGTTCTTATGTTACATACACTAGCCAAAAAATGAATATGTTTTGAATAATATGTAATGATAATTGTGACAAAAATTTAATAACAAAATTTTCAGTGAATTATCTGTAATTTAATTTTTCCACTTTTTTACAGAAATATAACAATTCGTAAAAAAATGAAGATATTAACTTGCATTAATATTTGTGCAAATCCTATTTATACATGAAATAGTACAAAATTTCATTTTGCAAATGATATCGTTGAACACAAACACAAATTAGGACACAAAGTACTTCATTTTGATAACTTAACAGCCAAAACTATAACTTTTCTTGACTTTAAATCAAAGCACTGTTTTATGAAATTGTGCTGAGTGCACTTTTCTTTGTAGATTCTGGTTCATCGCTCTGTTGATTTGATTTCACATCCTCGTTACCATGTACACGAATGGAGTGCTTCTTTTTAAATTCATTAATTTCTGTTCCTTTGTCAGATAGCTGTTTGTTCAAAGTTTCAATGAGTTTTGTCAACTGCTCCTTGTTATTTGCCAAACTGGGCAAAACTTCTTTGACAGTGCGTTCACATAAAACACCTCCGACCATTCTGTAACATCTTCTGTCTCCATCAACTTTGTTCAAAGTGTCTATCACGACTTTGTGCTCATTGAGTTCAGATTCCATTTCTGATAATTTACCAGCTAATACGCGCTGCTCGTTCCTCAAAGTCTGAAATATGGCGTAAATTTCTTCGTTCGACGGCTTGTCATTTTTGACTTTGGTTGCTGCCATTTTTATTGAAAATAAATGAAAATACTTTAACTGAAACTCGCGAAATCACAGATCAGCGATGAACGATCTTATCCTAATATGAGCATGAATATGATACACAAACATAACCCCATAGAAGAACCTAGTAGTGGCCTCTATCGCACTGCCAACAAACTAAAAATTCCAAAAATAAAACATCACCTTATGAATCATAATGGGGAATCTGATCTCATTTTTAAATCGTGATAAAATGAGCAATTTAAAGTAATTTTCTTTGCCAATTACATTTCAATTTTTACTAATTACAATAAATTATAATATTCTTGACGTATAAGAATCATCGACCCACACCTAATTTAAAAAAATATATAATTCATTTAAATCTTTAAATAATTTTTTTCTATTGGAAAAATAAATAATTTTTTCTATAGATTTAATATTTTTGGTCTTATAGTTCAGTAAAAAAATAATTAAAATTAAAAAGTATTCACTCTTCATTGACTCATTCAAAATATTTCAAACTACATCTGCGCCCCGCTGTTTTTGAGAGAAACTTACTGAGTTGCCGCGACGAAAGCGCTTCTTTCTTTTCTCTTACGATTTATGTTGCACATAGCACGTGGAAGTCGTACTTTTTGTTTAAAAAAAAGCTTTTAAACTAAAAATAACAAGTAAGTATTATCAAAATTATCACCTATAAGTGCTAACGTTTAAGTTTATATAAATGCATTACCAATTCATGTTTTTATCAATTGTAAATTGCGTCTGCAAAATCTCGACCGGGTGTTTCTAACCATAGTGTAAGATATTTCTCACATTTTTCAGTGCTGGTATGATAATTTAATTTTCAAAAGTTTCGTTCTAATTAATTCACTCAATTATTAATAAATAATCATCATTTCGGGGCTTCACATTCTATTTATGCCTGATATTGATTACAAAATTTATTATATATATATAACCTAAAATGATATAGAATCTGTCAATTGTACTGCTTTTATAGATATGAGTTTTACTTATTGATAATAATTCTTTAACAACAATATAATGTGTTTAGAGTCAAACAATAATATTCAAAACAATAACATGAAGTTTTATCATTAGACATAGCTGTCAAAAAAGTTCTAATATATTCTCATAATTATTTCAATTAACTAATTAACTTATATGTTGATAAAAATTGATCAAAACTTGAAGGCAGCTTAGACAAGTTGATGATTTAATAGTAATTTATATTAATATGCCTCTTTATTATTTCAGAATGCCATTGGCCGTCGATTACCTACACCCTGCTCCAGCTGAGGAGAAGAGGAAGCACAAGCTTAAACGTTTGGTGCAAAAACCAAACAGTTACTTCATGGATGTGAAGTGTCCCGGTTGCTACGCAATAAAAACCATCTTCAGCCATGCTCAAAGACCCGTTGAGTGCGACGGATGCCGCACTATTTTGTGCACACCCACTGGTGGAAAAGCACGTTTAACTGAAGGATGCTCCTTCAGAAGGAAAATCCAGTGCTAATTTTAAATTAATTTTTTATTATTTTAGGAAAATAAAAAATTAATTAAACTCAAATCTCTACTTTTTTATTATTTATATACCCCATTCTTGAATAAATTATTCAATTACTTTTATTACTAACTTGATTTTATCCATGCAACATGCTTTTTCAGATTTTATAAGGAATGGAATTTGATAATGCCAATAAAGCTGTTGCCAATAATATACAGCTTTGTATGTAATGAACAGTTTTTGGGTTTTGTAAATTTTTTATTGTCAGAATTTTTAATTACATACTAGATGAACACAATTTACTTTTTTGATGAAACTATCTACATCAAGCAGCTATTAATGAGATAATGAAACTAAAGAAAAAATAAATAAAAATGGATGAACAATCGTGAACTCATAAAAACCTTTTTGTATGTGTATGAGAATAAATACAAATTAAAACATCCCACAAATATTAGATTAATTGAAAAATGTTAATTTACTTAAGATGAATAATTCAAAAAACTACATTCAAGTTTTAATATTTCATATCTAGTAGTTTTTAATATATAAAAACCATTCATTGAGTTATACAATTCTAAGCATATATTGGAACGAGATAACAAGTTTTCTCTGTACTCTTAGAAATCTTACAAAAAATTTACTTTAGAAAATAAGGGTTTCTATATTCACGAAATATTAGTGAATTCGTAATGATCGAATAACGCAGATGGAAATTATTCTCCAAATGACCGCTTGGGGGCTTTTCAAAATTCCGATCTCCGCCACTCGGCGCTGTGCGCCCCAGGTAATCAACATTGCATTCTGCTATGTCTTCCTTTCAAGTGTAGATCTTCGTATCGCACGTGGCTTCACTACCTTTTGATAATAAAAGACATTAAAACAAAAAAATTAAAGTAAGTTCTATGAATATATAATGTGTAACACTTAATGCTCACAAGTATACAAAATTTGATAACAGTTAATTATTACAATCTATGCTAAAAAGTTTTATAAAACATCACCAACATAACCATTGATGCCGCAATATGCATTTTTCGCAATAATTTCAAGTGTTTAAAGTACATGAATTAATGAATCACTTGTGAATGTGCCGCTCTAGTTCATTACATCAATTTCACGGATATCTTAGTTTTTATTCAAAAATTTAGTTTACTTTTATCTTTCATTGAGACATTTTGTATAACCTCAGTTTTTCTGGAAGCATATCAATCTTGGCATTTTTTAAATGTTATATGCATGTAGATTAATTGGCCATTCTAAGATTATAGCTTTGAATAAATTATTCAATCTTTTATTGATATCCCAACTAGATAATATATTACCATTAAAGTGTAAACAAAACAAAATTACAATAATAGTATTTACCAGTATACTCTTAATTTACATATTCTTATTAGAAATAATCAAATGTCAAATTCTTTATTTTGACAGAGAATTGATAGATTATCAAGAACACAATTGAATTATGATGTTGATGAGATTATTATATAAAATATCTAATTTTGTGCAATTGTATTTATTTCAGAATGCCATTGGCCGTCGATTACCTACACCCCGCTCCAGCTGAGGAGAAGAGGAAGCACAAGCTTAAACGTTTGGTGCAAAAACCAAACAGTTACTTCATGGATGTGAAGTGTCCCGGTTGCTATGCGATCAAGACGATCTTCAGTCACGCTCAAAGGCCCGTAGAGTGCGACGGATGCCGCACTATTTTGTGCACACCCACTGGTGGAAAAGCACGTTTGACTGAAGGATGCTCCTTCAGAAGAAAAATCCAATGTTAAGTTATTTTTTTAGAATAAACACAAATTTTTAACACAATATCTCCTGTTTTTATATGATTTTTACTATCCACTAGCCAATGTTTTTACTCAAAACCCATGAATTACATTAATCACTGAGCTTATTTATAATTATTAACATCTAAAATTATAAGTCATGTAACTCATTAGATATTTTTAGAATAAAAAGTCTTTCTATAAATAATTCATTCATTTGCAATTATATTTTTAATTTTTTTTTACATAAATTCATTTTTGTTCAACTATAGTATAATGAGACATTGGAATAAAATAGAAGAGAACCAGCTTTTAATAAATAAACAGGACTTATTTTATTTTACATATAATCTCCACTTGGGCACATGATATTAATACATCTTTGTCTTAAAATCATTAAAATTAGACTCATACACAATACTTTGCATAAGTGCTTTAAAAATGTAATTTGCTTAGAGGCACCAACGCTAGATAATGTTATAATCAACAAATGTACACAAAAAACTTTAAATATCAATGGAATGATGATCAATTTAAGAATACAAAATAGAATTATAAGCTTGGAATATTCCACTAGCAACTTCAACAGATCTTGACTTTAATGATAACTGTAATAAAGAAAAATATTTAATTAAGATTTTGAGGTATTAAAAATCGTAAAAAAAATTATAACATACCAAAATATCTGGGTTTCCTGGTTGGATTTTCAATTCTATAAGCACCCAAACATTGTTTACTAGCTTCAACGATTGGTACAACATATCTTGTCCCTCTACATTTCTCTTGGCTATAGTAAAGACATTATTTTGTTGCATCTTAGTTACAACTTGATCAGTAGTTAACATGATACCAGTCAAAGTGTATTGAACCTAGATGATGAAAATGATTTTATAATATTTTAAGTAAGGTGCATGTACTTTATGTAATAAGTAACTTACTTCATTTTGAGCAGGTATATCTTTCCATGTTGATAAGAAGACTCGTTTATCAAGTTGACCATCTTCAGAAAAGTAAACGTTCATTGGTACCAAACAAGCAAAGTAGAATACATCTATATTATTTTTTATCGCAACTTGAAGATTATTGAGAGGCTCCATTCGCTGTACTGCTCCAATAGTTGATAAAACAATGCTAACTTCTATACTTTGACCTGGATTAAGCGGTGCTGGTACTTGCAACGGAGCTGCAGGAGCAAGGCCGAAACTATTTTTATTTAACTGGATAGCAAAACCACCCATAGGCTGCATGGCTTTGTTGGTAAATGTCAAGTCCATATTTATTTGACCATTTCTAAAGTTTATAATTATTAGAATCGTCCATATAGTTATTATCAACTTTTGAAAAAGTACGGTATGAAACTTACTTCCGGGAAAAAGTGCCCCAAACATCGAAACCCTTTCCTTTTTCAGCAGGAAGCCAATTGGTTTTTGGTGCGACATAAGATGTTGTGCCAGCGGTAAAACCAAATATATCGCCTAATAAACCAGTAGTAGTTTGTGATACTGCTGGTTGAGAAGTGGTCAAGTCTCCTCCTAGAATACTGTCCAATCCACTGCTCAAAAGATCCAGACCTGCCGATGCGGCAGGTGCTGGTGTTACCAAAGTTGGACCACCTATTATAAACAGTAAGCTGTTAAATGCGTTCTGCGGTTATACTTTAAGAGCTGAATTATGATACTTACCAATATCCATACTGAGAAGATCGCCAATAAGCGAGTCTTGTGCGGGTATAACTTGAGCTTGGGGTTGTCTACTTTCTTCACCGGAGCTCGTTCTAGCGGGTAGAGATTTCCTCAAGCCAGCTGATCTGCCTTCTACAAATGCAGTTGGTGGTTTATGATAAACGGAAGCCAAACTTGATATGTGACAAATCAATTCATCCAATAGGGTAGGCTCCAGCAAATCTGTTTCTTCGGAAATCAATGGTTTTTCTGCGAGCACCACCTCTTTGGCAGCGGCAGGATCGGTACTCAATAAACGCCAATAAATGAATCCACGGTCTCGAAGATCAGGATTGTCGGAGTCTTGCGTAGCTAAACTAAGGACTTGTTGAACAAGTTCTTGAGTATCGGTTGGTCGTTTCAAGAATAATTTTACAATGGCTGTGAGTAATTGCAATTGAACTTGAGTATTCTCGTCGTGGAATCCTTCGAGGAAGCTCTCTAGCAATTCGTCTGCATTGTCGATACGCTCCGCATATTCTCCAATAATCCAAATCATGGAAGCTCGGGCCTCTGGCTCATCAAGAGTATCGAGATTTTCGCATAGAGTTGAAATTATGCTCTCGTATTTATTAGGGTATTTTCGGAAGATATCTTTGATAACAACAATTGCCTCTTGTACAACGTAGTTTACCTGAAAAAATTAATCATTAGAATCAACTCCAGTAGCAATAAAAATAGTATATTACTGCCCTAAGCCGCGAAAAACAGTAAAGTTCCAGAGTACGTGTAATTAGTGGCCGAGGCGAAACCGAGGCCGATTAACACGTGCTCTGGGGCTTTCTTTTTTCGCAGCATAGACCTGTATACTACTTTTCATACACAGTGGCCCAAAAATCCCTCTTCCCGCTTTGCGCAGCGACAGGGAAGTAGGCACTTTCGGGCCGCTATTATGAAAAATATCATTCTTTAATTCGAATACATACCTTAGTTTGAATAAGATCTAACAATGTTGAAACGCAACGTTCTGCAGATGGTTCAACTTTGATTGCGCATCTTCCGATGGCTCTGACAGCTTTTCTCACAAAGTCAACATCAACTTCAGTTGCATACTCTTTGAGCTCAGACAAAACCTGTGCAATATTAGCCTGAGATGCTAATCTAATCATAATATCCAATTTCTCGAGTTTCACATAGATTGGATCGTTATACTTAACAAAAAAGACTTTCATTTCATGTTTTAAGATATCTGGCCTCTTTTGAACAATAAGGTTTATGTTTCTCAATGCAACATACTGTACTTCTGGCTCAGAACTTAACAGGGTGACCAAGGGGGGTGCCAATTTTTTCGTCAAAGTTCCAACAAAATCAGATTCTGATTGTAACATTTCCATTAATTTCATCAATACCTATTACGGAGAAAAATATTTAGAAGTTTCTGCAAAATATTTCAATTTCTAAAGATACTGAATTTTAGTTTACCTTAACTGCAGATAAAACTACAGCTGCATTGGCATGAGCTAAACGAGGTGTGATTCTTTCACAGATGCTTTGAGCTTCTCTATCATCTCGAGGTGAGTAATTTGCAAGTGAATCTAGAATAAATACTTGACCCCACTCTGTACACTCATTCAGAGCTGTGAGTAGCTTGTTAATAGTTTGTGCATTCATTTCTACCAAAGGTTGACCATTTGGACTTGATTCGTTAATTTCAGATAGAGCTGCCACAGCATTAGCTACCACCTTTTCAAAAATGTAAAATAATTTATTATATGCATGATTTTATAAGTTTTATTTGACCTGATGAGGCTATGACATAATAAAGGTTGCTTAGCAAAAATATAAAACAGTGAATAACATATCGTACCATGGGATTACTGTCAGAGAGCAAATCTTTCAATTGATCTAGGAATCCTTGATCTTCTACCATACTGGCGTTGATGTCGTAAAGCTTTGCTACACACACTGCAGCAGTTTTTCTAACATAAGGGTCCTCATCTTTCAAACATTTACGTAAGGGTTCACATAAATATTCAGTTATTTTATCCACCCTAATGCAACCCATTGTTCGGACAGCTAGTGCTCTTATCAATGGATTTGGATCCTCACAGTCCTGCACAAAATATAGTAACGCCAGGGATTCAAGTCAAGTCACAAGTCAGAATTTAAACAAGTCAACTCAAAGTTAGATTAATTCAATGAAGAGAAAATAAATTATTATACCTTAGTCATCGGAGATGTTGCAAGCTCCTTTATTTTGCGTGTGTCAGAACGAAAAATGTCAAATTGGTCACCGTCACCATTTTTATTTTGTTTTCATTTTTAATTAATTTGGGTTAATGAATGTTTTTTTTGTGCATTAATCACAAAAAAATCATATGTGTTTGCATTGAACCAGTCATTTTTTAAAGAGCACGATTTTTTAAATAGCATAACAGGCTTGGATCTTGAAAAAATGTTGATAAAAACATTTAATAATATCAGACGTACAGCAAAATATTAAAATCATAAACATTCAGCAAATTGAAAATACTTTACTCTATTTTCAAATAATACTCAACAGTTTAACAATATATAATCAATGGACATTCAAAGAACTTGACTATTTTTGATAAATCTAACTAACTATTCATAAATAAGAATTCTTTTATACAATATTTATATCAAAATAGCAAATAAAATGCACTCGACCAAATCAAACACAATGCTTTGCAAGTGTTATAAAATAGAAAACAAATATGTGCTAATAAAATTTACAGCTAAAAACAAGCTTGCAACAAAACTATAAAATTACACACATTGGATTACTTTTGGTCAGCTTACAATTTTTTGTAAGTACTTCATTGTAAAGATAATTTGATCAAAAAATTGCATTGCTCTGAGCTTAAATTTGATTTGGAGTGCACTATACGAACATTTTAGTCAATCAATAATTATTTTTCATTACGTTGTTAACACTATTGAACATTTAACTAATTAAGTATTTATAAATTTTCAGTTTTCGTGCCCTTTGAAAAATAAACAATTCAATTTGATACTGTCAGAGCAACTAATCTACTTACTGTAAGATGAATATCTTATTTTATATGATGTTAGATGACAGGCATGGTAATAAAACAAAATCTTGCTCTAATAAGATATTTTTTTATGAAAGTTTAAAACGTATATGATTTGAAATATCTATAAAATTATAAATTAATGGTCAAGATTTTGCCTTAATGCATCATTAATTTTATGACAATATTATGTATATATTAAATACAAAGATTTAATTATCATAAAATTCATGGTGAGTTCTTATAGTAAAGGTGTTTAGTATAATGATAAACAATAAATTAAACTCAAAATATGCATAATTAATGCTGTTTTATGCAAAAACAATGAAGCAATATACAATAGTATGAAAGAAGTATTAAGAAGAGGATGAAGATGAGCGACACACAAACAAAGGTGAAAATGAAAGAAACATTACCTTAACAAAAGTGTTGACAGCCATAATGGCCATATCTGGTTGGCTCTTTGCATAGTTCATGAGATAAAGATAAACCAATTTCTTAAGCTCCAAATTGTCAGTTTGCATACAATTGACGACATCGGGAAACAGAGCTGACACATCTTTGCCCACTGTCATAGAAGCAATCACCTATAATAAATGAAGTGCAATTTAAAATTAATCTTAAAAGAAAATGGATCTTAACTAGCTTATGTTATGTTACTCTTCAATCTCTTTTTTATCCTTCATCTGTGCACAGAACAAATATTAATAAACTTTCTAACAATCAGGGTATACAAATGAATTGATCAAAATTATATTGATTTAATCAAAGAAATGGTTGATTTTTAATGAAATGAATTAATTGAGATATCTTATTAATGAAACAAAAGAATGCAAAGAGAGATGTTTTAGCTCGAGAATAAAATAATCATTACCTTCTTTACAGCCTCTTTCTTTTTTTCTTTCTTGTCATTGTTGAGCTCCGACTTCAATTCGAATATCTCACCCTTTTTGGTGGTTGTGAAGTATTTGGAGTCAGTCATTTTGGCTGCAAATTAAAAATCACACAAACTTGTAAAATCAATGCTGCTTAATTAATAACTCAAAGCACAATATATCATTATTATACGAGCTACAGAGAAATTAATAAGTGGTTATGTCAACGTCAACACTTAATTGACACAGAGTCTGATTACAAATATTAAGATCTCGAACGATCACAATATGACTCATACACACATTCACTCTTACAATATTTTCTAACTCGACAAGACGTAGAGACGTATTCGAAAATTGCATCCGAACTCTCGGCCCTTGCTTATTCTTGAGAGCTGACGTGAAGGCAACAAAACGATCAATATGATTCTACTTTCTGCAGTATATCTGTATATACAATTGAACCACAATTGCAAGGTATGCGTGTGTATAGTAACTGTATGTACATGTATGAGAGAGATGCGCAAGGAGAAAGTAGAAAGACGGAGCGAGACACAGAGATAAAAGCTGTTAATGAGTCCGATAGGAAAGCTTTTTAACGCACACAACACAGAAAAAAAAAGATGATAACATACGCGTCTGCAAGTAATACTGAAACACTTTGGATGATTATTATAATCCCACCTTACGCGAGCTAATAAAGCCTCCTCGCAGGTGTGTTGGGAATATTCGATAAACGTTCTCTATACGTGTCCGCGCAGCGGAATCGCAGACGTGCAGAAATTCTGTACACACACACCAGAAAATGACAGATCCTCACAGTTATAATATACAATTGCAAACCTTTTAATGTGTGTATATGCGCGGTAGACTTTACAACAGCTCTCGAACACGCCCCCGCGAGAAGCGTCGATTTGGGTACACCCTGCCGACTAGCGCGCCTGCGTGTAATATGGCAAACACTGACTGCAAAAACTGTGGTCGCCTGGCAGCCGATTGCGCGAAACCAACGCACAACATAGACAATGTATGTATGTATATAGTACAATAGTGTATATTAATAGTGGGCTAACATGATTTGCCGATTGTTGGTATCCGATGTGATCCTCAAATGAATCGTCATTATTATGATATTCTCCAAGTTTCAACATAAATAAAATTATTACTTTTTCAAAGGATTTAAAACAAAATGTATGAAAAATTAAGAAAACACTATTATGATGTAAGTTTTATTTCATTAAAAAAGTAACTTACAAGTTTATACATTCATATACAAATTATAATTATTTTTTATCTTGTTAGGCTTGTCCATTGTAACAGACACAGAGTTGAAAATTTCACTTTTAAGCCACTTAGTTCATTGAAAGAGATTGAACATTTAGATCACAATGTTAAACATTAAATATAACTCAGAAAAAAACACATAATATGCTCAAACAAAATGGAAAGACATTCAAAATTAAAAGTAAATTTTTACATATATATCATTTTATAATTAGTAGTAATTGCTTAAAACAAAAATGAAAAACACGCAGATTAACATTGAAATTCTCATTTCACGATATTATTCTAAGAGCACTTTAACATTTTGAAAAATTCTATTTTTTCCAACAATATAAAAAATACAATGTTGCTATTATTCATCTAAAATTATATGAGAGCTTTAAGCACTGATATTATAAACTATTGTTTTATGTAAACACATTTTAAATAGTTTGAATCAGCATGTACTCTCAAAGTGTACGATAACTTCGTTCAGTTTTGATTTTGTAAAATTTGTATCCTCCAACGCTCAGTCCAACGATGCAAGCTGTCAAGATTATGCCACCTAAAAAAGGAGCGATGATGAAAATGTATCTATTATTGCATTTTTAACAGTCTCAAGATATTATCATACCCATAAAACTCAATCCATCAAACTGACGTCCTCCATGCGATGGCGTCGGTGGCACAGATGTAGTTGTTGGTCCATCTGGAGCTTTTGTTGGGTCAGGAGATGGTGATGTTGATGTTGGTATAGGTGTAGTTGTGGGTGGAGGTTTAGGAGTTGTAGTAGTTGTAGTAGTTGTAGTTGTAGTTGTAGTAGTAGAAGAAGTTGTAATTGGTGCAGACGTTGTTGTATTTGGTGCTAAAGTTGTAGGCTCAGGTGGTGTCGTAGTTGCCTTGGTAGTTGGTGGAGTTGGTGGAACTGCTGTAGTAGTGTTTGAAGAAGATGGCTGAGGGGGAATGTATCCTGCAAATGAGAAAAAGTTGCACAATAAAATAATTCATCCATAAGGAGCTTCAACTTCGAATTGGTTGATTCAAGAATAATCCTTAAAAGTGCATCATTTCGGAAATAAAAGAGAATATACAACAATGTACTTTCTTGTCAATGAGTCATTTCACGACGAACGATCAATGGAAATTTTACGATCGTGCAACGAGCCATGGAAAATAATGGATTTTGTTTGCAGTAATAAAGCTGTAGAACTCACCTGGTTCGGCTGGTTTCGCCTGGGCAACGAACGCGGTGGCCGTCACCGCGAGCAACGACAGGACAACAAAAAAGTTCTTCATCGCGAGGAAACAAAAATGACGATAATATCACACGACGCGAATGTCTGCTGCTTCTCTCGTACCGTATATAACACGCTACGTACGAGGATGATGCTCCTCTCACGAAATTGCGTATTCAACACGTATTATAATAATATATGTATAGATAGAACTTTTACACGTCGCGTGTGCGTAATGCGTATTTGCAAGTTATGCGTGCTGTATTTATGGCTATATACGAAAATCTATAGGACAGTGTCTCATATGCCTCGTCGGCTCTATGTTTATCGAACGATAAATAGCTCTCGGTCAAACACTACACTGAGTAGGCAGAGCTCAGCGCACACTTAGCACGGCAGCAGCAGTAGCGAAAAACCACGTCTGGTTTTTACGCGGACGACGACGACGGGATGGGATAGAATTACCGCGTGTGCTGGCGTTTTGTTTATCGCGCAAAAATCCCCCACCTCTGCAACGAGTATACTCTATATTCGGGGATTCACTCTTTCTCTCTTTCACTCGCGCTCTCGCTGCTCCGTTATCATGGAAATTATGCTGCTAAATATAATAACGCGGACGGTATTTTTCACTCGTTTATACTCTGGCTGGGAGTAATATGTGTATAAATATATATCGTCGTACTACGACGTTATCTCTGTGCGCGGGCTGTAGCGGTCCTCGAGCTTGAATCACTCGCTCTGGCCGACTGATACGGCACGCTTGTTCACAGCCTGCAGCTGCAGAAAACTATATTCGCGACGCCAGCTATATATAATGTGCATTTGTGCAATTATGCGGTTCGAGCGCGGGGTGCAGCAGTCAGCAGTACTACAATGCGGGCTGGGTTAGGCCAAGATCGCGCTCTCTGTATTACATTATTGCGTCCTGCGTTGCAGCATGCATGACGCCGCGCAGGAGAGTAGCGCTTGTAAGATCCACTTGTCTTCCAGTGAGAGCTCGCTTGCCGCGAAGCACCTGTTACAACATCGAACCGTCGTGTTTGTACATTGCTCCGAAATCACAGTATATATCGCATAGCTAGCTACGTGGACTGCTTTTAGGAGGAAAAAACAAATATTCGACTCATGGCAATTTTCTCTTAGTTCGCGGAATGCGTAGTAAGCAAAAAAGAGCACTCGAAGGTGTATACAACATACAAAGCGAGAGCGACGCGTAGTAGTCTCGCACCTTACCTACATAAGGGAAAGGAGTTGCTTAGAAATTTAGAATATGTTACATCGACTCTCGGCTAGAGGGCGTCGCGGTGTTAATTTCTCGCATTTTTCGGAGCGCTAACGTTTGAATGAATCGACGTTCACCCTGTCTCGCAATTCTCACGGGTGCACCATTACGCCGCACGTAAAATTGTACCGGCGGCGTTTGACAATAACTTTTCGTCATCGAAACGATGGGATTGCCGCGTCGCAAGCTCGAGAGGTAAATTTAGCCATGCGTTTGCTCGGAGGGTAAATACCGCGAGCGTAGCGCAGGTATCGCGCTCTGCACACACACATCGCGTCGATGACACACTTTTGCCTCGCGCTCCGATAGCATATGGATACGTGCGCGCAAGCACAGCCGCGAAGCTTGCACAGGCAGCAGCAGCCGAAAGCGCAGGACGCGGCCGTGGGGGTGGCTGCGCGCGTCGTTATTGATCCTCGCGCGATCGCCGTTAACAATTCCTCGTCTCTCTCTCCCTCTCTTTTACTCTCGGTGTGGAGTACGCGACAATATTATCTCGATAGTGCACGCGTGTATATTCCTTGAACGAGCTTGTAAAAGCTCGCTCGGCTCCGAAGCACACGTACAAGACACGACCCTTTTTTTATTTAATTTCTTTCTCCATCTCTCGCTGTAAACGCGCGAGAAGGAGGAGAGGGTCTTCTATAAAGGAACACGCGCCGATATTATAATAGAAGCGAGTGAGAGGAGTCGCGTGCAAGGGAAATCGTGACTACTGCCGAGTGTGACAAGTGTGCAGCTGCAAGTGTGTGTGGCATTGTGCGCGCGCGCCGACAGAAACGCGAATTTCCTCGATGCTACTGCTGCTGCTGCTGCTCCATTGGCATGGATCGCTGTAACGATAAAAGAAAACTCGAGCTTCCTCCTCGAAGCTGAGTGGCAGAAAACTGTGCCTCGTGTCTTCTCCTCTGCCCAAGACGACGAGAGAGAGAGACGAGACAATTGGAGCGCTGTTTTGCTAATTACTAGTGATACAGTACAGTAGCTGTTGGCATTTTTCTTCACGGTCTCGGTCTTCTGTCTCAGCTGCTTACCCCTCATCTGCCTCTGAGTTAGCAGTAGCCGCGCGCTGCTCTCTAGCCACGATGATACACACGATGTCCCTCAAGCTTTGCATTCCGCTAGGTAAGTCCTCTTTTGCTCGCATTTTCGCGGATCATAAACAACCCTCCCTTTCTCCGTCGCCCATTCACCATGACGCAATGACTGTCAGCATATAACCGAGTGATAATTTAATTATTCGTTGTCGCGTGATGAACATTGCGTGAGTGCACCCAGAGACTCAGCACTTTTTTTTCCTCACACACACACACACACATCTCTCCCTCTCTTTCGCTCGCAGTTGTACTAAACTAGCCTGGCTTATCGATCCTTTTTACTCATCCTCCAGCGTTGTCGGTTTATTAGCTCAAGCACGATTAATGCAATGAAAAGCCCATTTAAAATTTATCGATAAACGATAAACGATTAAAATTGTTGTGCGTCATGGTTCGCAGTGTGCGTGCTGCTGGTTCTCCGAGTCTCGTCGCTGTCGCTGCCGGCCCAGACGACCACCACCGCCAAGACTCCGGAACTAAAGAAGGTGGCCGCCGCTGCAGCGCCTGCGACACAGCAGCAGCAGGGTCAGCAGCCACCGGCTGCGACCAAGAGCAACGGCAACGCCAATAGCGAGAGCAACGACTCCGAGCCTTTCTACACGACCAAACGCAATGCCAACGTCTACGTCGAATTTCCGAGCACTCAATCGCCATTGGTATATATCTAGCTTATTATCGATGCAACCAACTTTTGCGATTACTAATCTGATAATCGTTTTGAAATTTGCGACTAGTTTTTCGTCGTACGCGGACGGCGTCCCACGCACTAAAAGCTCGAGCTTTTCATATACTCATACGTATTATTGTCTATGCGAAAGCTCATTTACGTTCAATCGCATTAAATCCTTTGGAATCAAACGCACGATTCCGAACTACATTGGCAATCATATCTCGCGAATGAATTACCCCCATTTATACGAGTTTGTCTCTTCATTCGATATACATGTATATCTATTCCGTAATAACACGCACCCACGCGCGCTGCTACGGGGGGAGGCTATGTTATTATTTTAGCATCAATTCTTCGCGTTCGCATTGCATCGATTCCCAGTCGTTTCATTCGCGAATCTCGTGTAATTTGATTTTCTATTTTTATTTTCGCTTCGCGATGGGGTACAGCTTGAAATCATATCTATATATTTGTATTGTGCGCACGATAGCAACGACGTCACGGCTAGAGCAACAAAGTAGTAAAATAAGTGCGGTATAGCACGCGCGTATATAAGTATATTTACGTAGGCGAATAATGCGCCGACAGGCGGAGAATATATGTAAGGAACGAGCTGAGAAATGGAGTTTGCCGAAAGGATCAGAGGCCGCGAAGAAATTTACCCAAGGAATTTAAAATCCGAAAGTGCCAGCTGAGTTAACGCGCGTCGTCGGGTAGAAAATTAAAATAGGATGCGTCGTTGTCGCGAGGGGGAAAAGAAAAAGCTTTGCCCACAACGGTTCAGTTTCCACGTTGTAAATGAAAAGATACGACTCGTTCGCGATGTCGCCCCGTTGTAAAATAAAATCCTCATTAACGAGCTTTAATGCTCGCACGCGCGCGTACATTGTACGGAGCGACGACGTATCGCGTGTGCTGTATAAACATCGCTGCGAATTTATTCTTGAACTTTTGACCCGAACGATACGCTGAATAAATCTCGAGGACGTGCTCTGTACATTTACATCGACGATTACTATATATTCCGCGTGTCTTGTCTGCAGTTGGTGTTAAATGCCGAGAAGGAGACGGTGGCCTCGGCCACCATAGCCCCGAAACAGAGGGCCGGCGCCGCCGCGGCTGCGGCCGGGACCAAACAGCAGCAGCAGCAGCAGGTGATCGCCACGACGCCGAAACCGCAGCGAAGCTCGTCCGAGGTGCCTCTCTATCGGCTCAACAGTCCCAATGGTCAGGCCTGCGTCCTGCTGCAGGTCGACGCGCTCATCACCATCAAGTACAAGGACAAGCTCGGCGAGGAACAGGTGCGTCCATATCAATTTTCAGATTACATTACATATCGCATATCCAATAAATGATTGACATTTGGATGATCGCATGAATACAGGAAGCCGACGTGTACGTGCCGGACAACGCCGTTGTCACTGGCAATTGCGACGGTGAAAATTCCATTTACATGTCCATCAAGTGGGACGCCTACGTTCTGTCTTGGTACTTCTCGAAGGTATGAACATTTTTATGATTAGGTTTCAAATTGACTCGCATATCGTAAAACTGTTCATTAATATTCATTTTTTAATTTTGTCAAAGACACCTGGCGGCGAGAGATGGTACGTCGACAAAATAGAGCTGACCTACAATTCGAGCGATCGTCACTTTGAGCATCCTCAACAACCAAGTGAGCCCACGCAACCGAGACTATGTTTTTTAATTGACACCTTATACATATAAAACGACAACCTGCTGATATTCTATTTCTTATGATTGCCTTTTTCAGACAAAACAGTGAGATTGAGCACCTCGCAGAAGCACAGCATGCTGTTCCCCACTCCGGTCGGTAAGTCCTACTCGTGCAACGAAGAGCAGGAAGTCTCCATGACCGATAACAAAAATCACGCCAGCGTCCTGCTGAGGTACGTATCGAGTTTTTCACTTGCTTTTCTCGATCGAACTGCACGTATACATTTTTCACCCTCTGATCTGCAGAGAACTGAAGCTACAGCCGTTCAAGTTCAAGAGCAACGACTTCGCGGCCGAGTTCTCGTGCACATCGCTGAGCGCCCGGGCGAATCGCGACGAGACGGCACCAGTGGCGGTGGGCTCGACCCTCGCCGCCGTCGTTCTGCTCACCATCACGGGCTATGCCGGCTGGAGGCATTTCAAAGTCAAAAAAGTCAACTACGACAATATGGAGTAAAGCCAAGAGAAATACCGATTGACAGATCTCTTGGAGCATATATACACGACAACCGCAGAACAAATCCGATGGAGCATTTCGATATTCGCTTATTTCTGCGTTACTTTATACATACTTTTTTTAATTTTTTCGTTGCATGAAAAAAAGAATGGAATGAAAAGCATACACGATAATAAAATTATAACGACAAGGTATGAGTAACACTACTTCCGTTTTCGGTTGATATACAGCGCGATATGCACTACGATAACAAAAAAAGAACACATATTTCAATTTTTAATTGTCATTACATTATATAAAATATATTTTTAAAAATAAAACGTTCGGAGAAACGGAATTAAAAATCGCTAAACTCTAAAAAAAGGTTGTACGTATAGCTAAAACGGCGCATGAAATTGCAGGCAATTTTCCACGATATGTCCTTCAATGTTTTGCTCCTAATATCTTCTTCATAAATATAATTAATACGTATGTGTGTGTGCACCCATATCGACTATTTTGATCTTATTCGATTCTGCACCACTATTCATAAAACGATGAACTCGAAGCATTGATTATTAAAAAAATATAACTACGGTATTTTTAAGAGAAAAAAACATGTTACATGCATTAATTCAAAGTAAGACGATATTTTTGTTGAAGTGATACGAAACTATTGGTGTATTTTTCCTCGTTGTTAAATTCATATAGTATTTACAGCAGTTGATTGAATTACTACAAATTTTATTCATACAGTTGATCAACATTACAGACATTCGTTGCACAAAAGAATAGAATTTATATGATGTTTTCGGATTGGCTTGATCAGCGAATCTTTGGTTAAGGAATAAACAAACGTCTGAGAAATCCGATCGATAATGATCATGTACAAACATATCCGTATAGAAATATTTGCGAAAATTTAACAAGACGATATTATTATTTTAGTGAAAAATCAATAAAGATGTGATTCCAAAAGACCAAAGGACGACCGAAAACAAGAGCCGGATGAATGATTTCGATAAAAATCAAACGTGATTGTACTGACAAAAAAAATTAAGATATATAATTCATGAACGTGGATCCAATGTGTTCCCGCGTTGTATTCTCTTGCAAGAGAAAAAAACTCTGTCTTCCAAAGCATATATTAACTTGATATGATATTATAAAGATATACATTAAAAATTGATTTATACGTATAAGGATGGTTACAAAATATGTATACATATTATATATTATAATTGCAGCGCGTATAGCTTTTAAAAAAGGGAATCATAAGAAGAAAAAAAATGACTAAAAAATTGTTTAATTGTGTAAATAAATATATATTACGCGGTTATCCGATGATTGTTTGAACTATTATTATACAAACGTCGGAAATGAAAAAAATTATATAAATGTGTATGATAAAACAAGACAGATTACGATGTAATAAGGATCGCAACAAAAATATGAAATGTGAACTTTCATTAAATAATCAATGATGTATAAATTTTTTCGAAGTTTTGTCGATTCGTAAATAATCGCATTTATCGATCTTATATCAATAGCCTACGTACAAAAATGAATATGTATAAAAAAAATAATATTAATAAAATAATAATGATTATGCAAAACTAATTGGCTGTTTTACTTCGCATACACGATTATAGGTGTTATGACAATTAAATGTACGCAGCAGCACACATCGAATCAGCTCGATTCAAGCTTATGATACGCACAGTGGCGTGCGATGATCGCTTTTGCACCACGGGACATCGTCGTCATCGTTGTTGCGCGCGAGACTCACCGCGTGGCAGCACAAAAATAGCAGCGATAAAACCGCATTACAATCGGCATATAGGTATATTATACGGTGCTGTAATATAAAGAAAGAGGACTGTGGCGATGATTACGACGACGAGAAGATGTAAAATGTTTGTGTGTGTATGTACGAATGTGTGAGTCTGTATAGACGAGATCTCGGTCTTTTCGGCACAGTTGGATACTGCTGGGGCACCGCTGCATCCGGACTGCACGGACAGGCAGGCAAACTTGCCTATACAGATGTGTGCTATGTGTGCAGGCGCCAAAGACCGCACGGGGAGGGCGTGAAATGTACAATCGTACAAATGTACTTAGGTACATATATATACACGTCAGTCATATATGGGTAATAGTTTTGCGCAACGTATATAGGTATACACGACGTAAATGCAGTCTTTAGTAAAAACGTCGAGCTAGCTGCTGCAGAGACTGGGCGCGCGCGACACACACACAACTAGAAAGAGAGAGAGACGAGAGACGAGTTGTATAAAATAGCTTGCAGAGGGGTCGTGCCCGATTGTTGACGTGCTCCCATTGTTGCCTGGCAGTGTATGTACCTACGTACTCGAAATTTTTAGGACTCATTCGTTTGTTACGTATACATATGTCTGGGTGTATGCTTTTTGTCACTTCATTCTCTCGCTCGCTCGTTTGTAGTGCCAAAAAAAAAGTGCGAGAAAGGAGAGGGAGCCGGCCGAAACGATGCGCTCTCGAGAGTATACGGACGAGAGCCGAAGAAGAAGAAGAAGAAGAAAGACAGAGAAAAAAGAGCTTGTAGTACGGCTAATCGTGAGCTTATGATCTTTCAAAGATCGTGTTAACGATTACATGCCAGAACTCTTGCCATCAGGCTCGATTATACGACGATCGATAAGTTTCACAGATTTCTTCCAATATAAGCCATACCGCGAAATGCTTTACCAGATCGACAGCAGATACGGGCGCGCATTCAAAAGAGTTTTAAAAAAAATTTTTTTTTTTCATCGAAAGTTTGATGAAAGTGATACGTGCAATTAAATTTTAGTTCTAATTTTAATTTGATTTCAAAAAAGCAGCAAAACAATTATAATTATAAAACGAGTATGGATGGCCGGGGGGTATTTTCGTCACTAGAGAAGCCGGTTTCGCGGCTTATATAAAAGCAAACTGCGAGTATAGAAGGGATACATCTGCAATAGCTCGTACGAGCCAGGCCACAATTGTCGACGGAACCCTCGACTCTATAAATTATACATGCGACGTGCCCGAGAGCGAAAGAGAGAGAAAATCTCATTTTCGGATTTTAATTTGCCAATTCTACCGATTGAAAATGTCGAGATGCGCTCATCGACAAGGCTATATTATAATACATATAGTAGCAGCTTCACTTCGGTGCGCCGTGTAGGAAGGGATTAAAGGTCCTCGACGCGAAGCTTTGAGATTATCTCTCGCGCAAATACACGCATCGAGAGACTCGGCCGTGCTATATATGGCATAAGCTTTTATACACAGGTGCGAAGCAGGACACACGACACACCCTCGTGTGCTGCTACTGCCGCTGCTACTATAGAACTGCGACGAGCTACCTACCTACCCGTGAAGTGTCTCTTTGGCTTCTGCACAATTTCACGCTTTAACGTTTTGCACAGCGCCGAGTGAACGCGATAGATGTATTTTGTACATAAGATACATGGATGGACGATCGAGATTAGGCGATCGGAAATGCCGAATATCCTTGTGATGTCGGCTAAAACGAGCGAAAGGGTGTGTGTGTCAGGCATTCGTGCGCACACGGGCACCGCGACAAAGCCTTTCGCGTGCATTTGTACTTTCTGAGTAAAATAGATTGGCTGTCTAAATTCATATTATTATCATTATTTTTTTTATACGTGAAAATTCATCTGTTTATTCCATTAACATGAAATATAAGTAAATAATGACTTGCTTAGCGCAACCGTACGGGTGGCATTAAAAATTCAATGTGTTGCAGACATTGATATTTGATAGCATTGGTCAAAATGTTTTATAATGATCAATGCGCGTCCACTCGATACGTCCGCCTACGCATCGAATTCCAAATATTTATCCAACTCGCGCCTTGTGAGCCCAAAAAATTGAAAAAATTGTTTCAGGCGTCGGCCTCTCTCTTAAGCAGTTAAAAGTCCAAAAGGTCTGGTTCCAGAGACATTGGTCGGCCTACGACAATATAAATGAACGGGCACAGCAGCCACGTACACATGTAGCTCCTCCGAGACTACGTACGCAAGCAAGAAACGACAAGATAAAGCAGCCGCTCGCGCAGCGAGAAAAAGTGAGCCGAATACGAGAGGGACATTAGCGCGAGCCGTATCGAATTGCATTCGAATTCATTCGACACTTCTCGCTTTAAAAAGATGTTTCACACAATTTTCTTGTATTACTGGCTTCTTGCAGTTATAATAGTGTATTTTTTCTGGCAATGATGAAAAGGAGAAAAAAAACGAGCGCGTCGGTGAGAAATGATTTGGAGCACCAAGTCGCTCACCCGGCACGTTGTTACTTCTGGCAGAAATATCGAAAACAATCGCATTGATAACCATTTACGAACAGACTCTCGTGCTAGACTCTCTCCGCAGTCGAAATAAGCTGTGCACGTTGTGTACTTGGGCGCACACGAGCAGGGCAATTACCTGTTAGGGTAATTTTTCGGCTCGATTAGTTACTCAACGAGCTGTTAATCCGCAGGCTACGAAAGAGGAGACCTTTATCTGTGCAGGATCGAAATCGCTCCTCGATATGCCATCTCCTCGTGCAGTACGCCACATACGCGAACAATGACAAGACACTCGCTGTATGGCATATTATACAGCAGAGAGCCCGTGTGTGAGAAGTTCTTCCGCAACAAAAGCCATGTCTCTCTGTCTCGCTCTTCTTTTTTTCCTAATACACAGTAGCGAGTAAGTACACGGGCTTTATAATCTTTTATTTCGTTTGGACAGCAGTCGAGTACATTATAAATCCGCAGGACGCGTAACGCGTCACAGAGCGACAGAGAAATGACGATTTGAAAAGAGCATCGGGACACGCGTACCGTGTACATGTGTATACATACGTTTGCTGCACCCATTACATTCGCTCGAGCCCCATTGTCAGTCGGACTCTTTAATACGAGCACCAGGAGCACATGACCTATACGACGACGCTGTTGCCCCTGTCTGCATGGACGCGACGCATTGTAGATGCAAAATCTCAGCTCATCGCGATCCGTACATATATATGTACGCAGTCGTGGGAGTGAACTTTTCAGCGAATTTCCGAATGCGCTCGTCCTATACATAGAATGTTAAAATACCTAGTAATAAGGGAACGTACGCATTAGTATGTGTGTGATCCAATGCCAAAGATCGTGCGCGATGACGTTCAGTAAGTACACGTCTACCAACAATCGAGCTTTTTTCATTTGCTCTTTTCTCACATAAGTCTTCGTGCACCGAGATGTGTACTTGAAAGATGGTTCGATCTGATATGGATCGTTCGGATAATTAAGCTGCGCTTTTATTTTACAGTTCAAAATGTACAATTGAATAAATTACCGACGAAATAGAAAATTATACATGCTAATCATATTGTGCGCACGGAAACTGTTCGTTCTCGCAGCCAACTTAAGAAACGTTATTTTTTATTGCGTACGTAATCGTACGGTGATAAATTCTGAATTTTTTGATTATTTTGAATACATATTTTGAAAAACGTCGGATGTCGCCTGGTGATGTCCACAGCACCTTGGACTCACCAGCTGTTTGTGTCAACTCTACAGGATATTCACACGCAGTCGATATACTCTTCTGCCAAGTGCAGTACTTGGAATTATCTGGCTGGCTCGATTTTTTTTTTCAAATTCATTTTCAATTATAACGAGTATGAGAAATCAAAGTGTTTGTATACAAATCCTGTTATAAAACAAGAAAATAACCGTTTATCAATTAGAAAAATAATCTGCCACAGGGCAAAGAGCTTCCTCCTAGAAATATGCTAATTTTTATTTTTATATATTAATGATGTTAGAAACTTATTAGTCCTTACTCGAAAATAAAACAACATTTGTAACCTGAATTTTTAAACATAGAAAACGAATTCGTTATTAATCATTATTTTTAAATAATTTTTTGATTAATTAAATTATTAATCTTTTATTTAAGCTGATCAAAAATCAATTGACGAAAAGTACGTTGCATCTGGATTTTTTCATTGGACGAGTTGTAGGCTTTGAATAAAATTAACATTAAATTATAAATATCTCAAGATGGCCAATGTGTATTATATAACAATTAGTCGCAGAAAGTATGCTACACTGCAATTACGGCTACATGCAATTGGCACACGGCTGAAGCACGTGTTGTGTTGTTCCCTTCACCTGCAGCTCATAATATACTTACAAACGCTTACTTAGTTAGAAATAAAAAAGCGTCATCGTTCACACTGTTTCTATCTCTTTCTGGCTGCATCATTAGCCGCGCGCATTCGCGAGCGCAAAAAAAGTCGAATGAAGCTTTCGCGGAAAGACAGAAAACATTCCACAAATCGGACTATTTTGTTATCGTATATAAGTCGGACTGTCGGTCGCACACACGCGAAATTCGCGACGGCGCTTACTGCACACGTTTAAACAGAATAAAAATATATATCATAGCGCGTACAACTAAACGAAAGCTCGCCTCGCGGGTAAAAGAAAAGATTAATCGCTGAAACGCTGAGGTCTGCAGAAATTCGATCGTAGGAACCTGCGCACAACTTTTTCCCACACAGGCCGGTGCAATAAGTGTGCTTGACAGAAAAAGGTGAGAAAATAAAACGAA